CTCTTCCATTGATGGCATGATGACAGTCTCGGAGCCCGATACGGAGGTACAGATGATCAGATCGAGACTCAAAAACAAGTCCAACCCGACTCAACAGTTATGCATGACCGTTATCATGCATAGTGGACCCGAGGCCTTGGATTTATCCACTTGCCGTTTTCCCTCGTGGTTGTCGAGAGTAGATATAAGAGGCTGCCTTGTTTTCAGGACAACTGTAGGAGGATATGGCATCCGACTATGCCTCATTATTGTAATAAAGCACTGGGCACGAGCTCTCAGCAAACGCATACAGGCTGGTAGATCAAACGTCTGAATATTTAGTCTTGCAAGGCGACACATTCCTTTTCAGGCTCGTAATTCCTCGTCATACCGGGATATGGCTTACTGGGTGTACTTTGTGCATTGGTGGGAACCCTGTGTATTAGGAACCGACTCCGTTGTATCCTGGAGCTCGTGTTGCGCCCCATACTCTATGCAAGTATCATTTGCCGACCAAACCTTCTGTTTTACGAAATACAGTAGAGTTTTATTGCTATTACGCTAAGATAAAACGAACCAGGCGACCGGGTGATGATACAAGGAACTAGAGGAATCGTGTTCCAGGTAAACATGGTGGTGGGTCAACATGGGTCAATATATGTTTTCAACGCTTTTGCTTCCAATGGCCTCGAACTGGAACATCTGAATTGGTAGGTGTTTTGAGCAGCCAGAAACAGCCTATAACGCTATAGGTATCGACCTAGTTAACAATCCCTAACAATAATAAAGACCAGGAGAAATACTGTAGCAATAGTCAAGCATCGAATAACATTGATTTATACATTGAAACAACCGCCGGCCAGAAAACTCAGAAGTCTTCATTTCCTAGTTGTGTTACGGCGTTAGCCCTGCTACAGGGAATATCCTCGACACAATTATAAAACCATTGAATCAATATTGAATTTACTGTACTGCATAAGCTACCACGATTCCACATCCTCAAGCCTAAAGCCTGAAGCCTGAACTTGGCTCTGGTCGAATGCAACAGAGACAAACGAAACAACTACGTCAGAGCACAGGAATCTCCAAGCCACCTACGAAGAAGGTTCAAAGATCATGAGTAAGCTCAAAGTAAAAATCACGCCCAAATCCCTCCTTCCGCGTACCTTGTTCCTTGCAGGAGCTCGCAGGAACCCAGAAAAACAGACATCCATAAGCCACCCAACCGGACGGAATTCCCCCAGCCGAGACCCAACCCTGCCGCTCGATGCAAGTCTCATCCAATGGAAGCCCTCAAAGCAGGTCCCCTAGTTTACCCAGAATCTCGGTTCCCGACGATCAACTCTGCCCCTTTTTTCCCACTGCGACCTCGCCCACTTCCATCTGGGCATTTTGTTTAGGCAATATTATTGCCCCGAATCCATTCCATTCCTGCCGGCCCACCCCCCCCTGCCCAGGCCTTTCCACACTCCCCTCTCCCCCACTTATTCCCAGCTCTCGAGCTCGATACAGTAACTCGTCCATAGTCTAACGCGCTATGGGAGGCTAGTGGTGTTTTTCCTCGACGACCGTCGTCAGACGTTTAAACCTTAGTCAATGGTGCCCTGGGAAATCGAAGGTAGAAGGTTCTCCGGGCGTTCTGCGGTCTCCGTTCCCATCAGCCGTGTCTGCAATCGTCCCTTTTATTCGCTCTCGCCCATTCGGAGTAAGCTGAGTTGAGTAGCTGGCTGACGCCGACGTTGCTGTTGGTCGTGTGTTCCACTTTTTCGAGAAAATTCCGTTCCTTCCGGGGGAGAGCTCGTCTCTCCGGACCATACACTAGACTACTGTATTGACTCCATACTGAAAAGTCAAAGAATGGTCCATGAAGGAGGCCGGCCTTTATCCTTGTTTGAAAGCCAGCGTTACAGTAGCTTTGGTATCGGTGTTTGCTTCTGCATTCGACGCTCGATATTCAATCCAACATCCGATCTATAAACCAGACAAATCAGACCAAAAAACGAGGCAATAATTGCCAATTGTGATTTATCTGTGTTTGAGGCGTTGATGCTGTGCCTGTTATGTACATGTATCCCCTGCATTGGTCGGGATCACCACCAATCAATCCGGGATGTGCACACACCATGCGGTATATGCACGGCACACATCGACACAGACGCAGTGACACAACATGCAGCACACACATAACTTAATGGCTGAAGGCTGATGGTTGAGCTGATAACTGAGGACCAAGTGGCGTGTCCAGGGTCAGAATTATACATGTAAAGCAAGTAGGTAGGATCAGATAGCAGAAAACATGACGCATCAACTCAGTCATCGAAAGATCAAAGGAACGTGATCTGGACGGGAGTGAACCATGGACCGGAACTTCTTCCCCGGACGCACTTCCGATCGCGATAGATCACGTTTCCACGGTTCGAGTCTTGAAATCTGGAAAGGGGCACAACGCGAACAGGGCTGTCAGTTGGATATGAAACGTAACGTACAGTTATACAGGTCCACAGAGGAGTCCAGCTCAATTTCCTTATCCGTAGTTGAGATTGGATCCTGCTTATATCCACGCGCTCACACGAAAAGCTTCGGTAAACCCGTGTCCGCGTCGCTGGATAATACAATACAGTCCGGGTCCAGACTGCGCGTCGGAAAACGGCAAAACGTGTCGAGCACGCACTGTTCAGTTTGAAAGACCTCTCTGGATTTGGACTTGAGCTAAGTGCTAAGTAGGCAGGCGCATTTGTCCATGTATTGTACAGTACTCCGTGTGTACAGTATTACTTGGAAGACACCCCCCACTGACCCGCCCTGTTCTCCGTACAAAGGAACCTTACGGAAGACGCGCTGAGAGCTGAGAGTGGAGGCTGTCTTGGTTTTTGTTTTTGATGATTTTTGATGATTTTTGATGATTTTTGGGATTTTTTATTTGCTTTTTATTGATTCTTGCTTTGCCAGGAAAGTTGGGGGGGGGGGGGGTCCCCTTCAAAGACAGACCCATCGGTTAGCGAAAGTGTATCGAGGATAGCGCGCACAATTGGGGGTGCGCTCTGGCAGTTTCAAAGGGAATTCGCAATGCACCGGGATTTTGTGGGAAGTGGACAATCTCGATTATTTAGGCGAGATGGGGATTTCAAGGCCTCACCGTCTCACGGGTTGTGGATCTCGCCCATACCCTAACTAGAGTTGGGCTTCGGTTGATGCTTTGGCAGAAGCGGTGAGGGAGATATTGACACGAAGTCATCTTCACCGACAAGTGAGCTTCATTAAGGTGTTCCCGTAGTGTCCAGGTAGCTTGGTTAGCTTGGATAAGAAATTCCAGACCTGGGCCTGGAGTTGTCGGGACGATAGCGGTGTCCACTAGTTCAGGGGCCGGCGCCGGGGAAGAAGTTCCTGAAATTCTTGCCAGGAACAATTCCTGTCGAGGTCTGATTCATAACGGGTCCGATTGGATCCTCATATTGCAGATCCATTACACGGGATCTCAGTGGATTTTGATTTCTGGACGGAATGAAAGAGGGATTGACCAAGGGATTGAGAATGGGGTGGATCGGGGACGAGGCAAGGTCTTGTCCATGTATGTTATATAGTGTTTGTATGCTATGCACTTCTCCTCCAATGTACGGTGCAGTCACCGATATCCTGAACATCGTCATTTGTGGTCGAGAACGTTGAACGGGGTCGGTCCGCTGCATCGGGAAGTGGATCGTGCTTTTTGTCCAAAGCCACCCGGGCTTCACCGCACATGAAGATGAAGGGCCAGATCGGAGAAGTTTCGATTCTTCGATGATCTGCCGCGAGTCCGGAAGGTTGTTTGGAGATTCCGGATCAAGGGGGGTAGGGCGAGGGGTAATAATTTGATATCTCCATCTCGATATCAAAATCAAGGTTCTCAAAGGACATTACTCCGTACTTCCGTACTGTATACATTGTAATCTCGACGCGAGCGCGTCTCCTCAGTAACCGCGTCCGGGATCATCGGGTGATGGGAATACTCCACTCAAAATTACTCGAATACTCAAATACTCCAATACTGTCAGCGGTGTACGACTGTCCTACTGCATAGTCTGCACTACGGCACTACTGTACGTTGACCTCACTCGAGAGTGGACCCTGTTAGGGCCTTTTGGGCCTTGAGATCGAGTACAGTAAATCCCCCCTCTTTCCCCCCTCCAAAGTTCCGATTCGTGTAGATCTATGCAGTATGGCAGGTGATAAGGAAAACAGAGGGGTAACTAGGTCGATTCTCCGTGGCACAGGTGAACAGCCACAAGGCGGGGGTCCAGACGGGAACTCTGGACCAGTCAGTAAATGAGGCAAAAGTACGCTAGATGGCAGAGAGATCAAGTATTGTCGACATCATCCCTGTTCGGAGTTGTGCGCAGATCGGAGGGGTTGAGAGGGGTTGGACTATGCCAATATCGACAGCTCCAGTAAACAGTAGACTGGAGAATATTGTACACAGATTTAGCCCAGGCATCCGGAGTCGACAGTACCGATGTTGTATAATATAATCCCTGTAGGGGGGGGAAGTGTTAGTCTCACATGCCTAATCTCAGAGCGAGGGGCTATCCACTATGATCGACTCTCAGGGGAGCCACATGGGTGATCAAGAATAATTACGTGTCGAATTTGTATGGTAAAGACACGGACGAGCGAGAGAAAAAAAGAAGTGCGTGGCGATAAGTCCAGGGGAGGGGGGAAGAGGCTGGTGAGTAAGCGATGCTTGGGCCCACGACCCTCCCCCTCCCTTTCTCACTTTCCCCCTCGGTTTCCTCAAATTCCTTCTTATTCTCCTCATCCTCCCCTCTTACCCCCCCATCCCACCTTTCTTTCAGCGTTGATTTTTCTTAATTTTACTTTTGGTGGCTGGACACACTTCTTCGATACCCTTTGTTTTATACGTCTTTCGCAAGGAATGATCAGACTCCCAAACGAACTCCTGTCGTCGACACGCCTACAAAACCGGTGCGAACTTACCCAGGGGACAATACCACAATTCACACTCTAAGTCGATCTTCAACATCGATATGGCTCCTTCCGCTCCCGGAGCAGCCGCTTCTCCGGCTAAGAAAACCTCAGCCCCAGAGAAGAAATACAAGTGCCAGTTTTGCAATCGCGCATTCAGTAGAAGCGAACACCGCAGTCGCCATGAGCGCTCCCGTAAGTAGCAGCAAAAATGGCGGATCCCCTCCACGCCCCCTCCTATCCGATCCCCCCCTGTGGACTAACGGAAACAACAGACACAAAAGAGAGACCCTTCAAGTGCTTAAAATGCCGCAGTACCTTTGTCCGTCGCGATCTGCTCTTGCGCCATGATCGAACTGTGCACGCCAAGGATGGTGGAATTCCCCTCGTGGCCGAGGGGCGCAGACGGGGTGGAGGGGTTCAGAAAAACTCATCTGCGCCATCGAAACCGTCGGTCACCGTGGACCCGACGACTTTGGAGCAGATTGAGGCCAGTAGTGATGGTATGGTCGACCTTGAAACTGCAGCCATGTTGATGACAGATTTCCAACATAAGGCTGCAGCAGCTGCGACCGGTCAGGTCTCTGAGCGTTCCGAATCCCTTTCCCCTGGGCGGGGCTACGAGCCCTACCTATCAGGCAACGCCACTCTGCCTCAGATGCCCTGGGACACGCTTGTCTCCCCCGCGGAAACTGGCTCGATGCCTACCCTCGTCGATCGCCATGGCCCCGTCGGAGACGTTCTCATGTCCAACTCCCTTCCCATGTCTGGCAACTCTACGCCGAATGCCCTATCGCCGTACCCCTCCATGACGGGTCCGGTTAGCCCTGTCAACTATCGTCGTTCGCCCGGCCCTAGTCAGGCTCTCACCCTCCCCAAGGCGCCTCAACTCGCTAATGAGATGGAACGTAACTACGTGGTTGACCGGGTACAGAGTGCTGACTCTTTGGGTGCGCTCCCTGACACTTTCCAGCTTCCCCCACCGTGGCTCTCAACCGTTATCTATCTACTTACTTCAACCTCTACCATCCCCATCTGCCCTTCCTTCATCAGGAGTCGTTCCAGCCCGCTCATATTTCGGCACCATTGCTTCTTGCAGTTTTGTCGATCGGCGCTCTGTACACTTTCGAGCGCGAGCACGCTTTCATGCTCCATGTCGGCTCCAAGGTTCTGGTGAACCAGTTCCTCCAACACAAGGACAACTTCGACTCCCGCAAGTGCCCTCTTTGGTTGATGCAGGCCACCCTATTGAACATGGTCTTTGAGAGCTGGAGTGGTGACCCGAAGGGTCTGGAATGGACTTGTTCCATTAAGAGTCTTCTCGCCAACATGGTCGCTGGCAACCGGTATCAGTTGAAGTTGCGCACCCAGGCCCGCCAGAGTGTGCATCCCTCTCGTGAGGAGTGGATCGAGGATGAGTCCTGCCGTCGTACATACTTTGCTGTGTACATCTTCTTCGGCATGCTTACTCTCACTTTCAACCACACTCCTGCCATGAGCTTCGACGAGTTTGACGATCTCGAGCTTCCCTCCTCCGAGTCCTTGTGGAACCTAGATGCCGCCGACGAGGACACTTGGCGCCGCAGCGTTGCCACCAGTGCCCTCACTGTGCGCGAGGCGCACGACTTCCTCTTCCAGGGCGAGCAGACCCGCTACAGTGCCTTCGCCACTCGCGTCCTAATCAATGCCCTGTTCTTGCAGGTCTGGAACCACAAGCGCAGCTTCGAAGCCTTGCAGGACGTGGTGACCGAATACAAGTTGCGTCTCGCTCTCGAGACTTGGGAGAACTCCCTCGAGGTGTGCGAGCCGGAGACAATCGTTGTCCCGCTCAGCACTCCCCAGAAGGGTCACCCGCTGATCTTCAATTCGATGGCAGTCTACCGCAACACACGCGCCCGCCTGGAAGTTGACCTGAAGTCCATCCAGGAGGCTATGCGGTACCACTCCTCGTACGAAGTCGCGGCCGCTATGACCGTTGCTCGTGAGAAGGTCAAGCGCTCCCAGGAGATGAACAAGGTTGTGCAACAATGCTTTGAATGCATTGAGATTGCCGCCATTCAGGGTATCAACTGGGTTGCCAAGACCTCCGCCACTAACTGGAGTGTTGAGCATCCTCTTTGCGGCCTTGATCTGATGGTCATCCTGAGCCTCTGGCTCTACCGCCTGGAACATGACGATGAGCCGGCGACTGAGGCCGAAATGGCCATCTACAACAAAGTGCGCAACTTGTTTGACGACGACGCTATTGATGCCTTTGGCAAACTCAGCTCCACCGTCGCCCGTGTATGGGGTAACATCCTAGACGGCGTGGTTGTCTGGGGGTAAGTCATACCCGTTCCCTTCCTTTTGATCTCTACTAACTTCTTCCAGTATCACCAAACTCATGGGCGAGTCGTTCAAGCTACACTCTCAGGCCCTCGTCGGCTACGAGGATTCCCTTCGCGTCGGCAAGGATCAGCCAATCCACGCGGTACCAACTAAGTCGCTTGCTAGCGTCGGCACCGCTTATTAAATTTCCTCGGTTCTCCTTGAGTTTTTCTTTTTCTCAGTTTTCCTTCAGTTCATCTGTTTTTGATTTCGGGTTCTTACTCTCCTTTGTTGGATGCTTTGGGACACTTCGGCAACGGGACTGGACAATACCAATGGGCAAGGCGGGGTGTTTGGGATTGAATACGTCGCTTTTGATATCCCACTTGGTGGTTCCGGGTTCTTTTGGATTGATTGGTTTTTTTTTCGGTTTTTTTTTTCTTGCTTTGCTTTTCCTTGCATCTTCCTGCCTTCTGCACCAGGGAGTCCAGTGTGGTGTTTCTGCTTTTTGTCTTCGACACCTGGCTGGTCCTGTGTGTTCTTTCGCACTCCATGGAGTTTTCTTCTTTGATTCGGTTCATCTTAACCCCCTAATCGTGCCCCAGTCCATCTGCTTTTCGTGCTCTCGATACCTTTTTGTCTTTTCTTCGCGCGTTGTTGATGTTTCATTTCCTTTGTCCTGCATCTGCTTTTCTAGCTGGGTTTCCAGTCGCTGTATTTGACGTTGATTGCTCTGTCTTTTCCCCCGCTCATACTGCGCTTGCGATCTGTTCAGCATTGACTTTCTCCTCTCGCCTTTTGTTTTCCTTGCACATGCTTTTATGCCACTTATATGTACTATACGTAATCGATGAATTTATTATTTGCGGGGATAACCAAGATCATTGTAATCACAAGCTGTATGCATAGTAAATAGTAGATAGCAACACCTCTATCATCTATGCTAATATGCTAATATGCGAAGTCCGACGTTTTCCGTAATTTGACATCCACATATCCACATCTCCACCTCAGCTAAACATCCAAGTACAGTCATATTATCATAACTAGGATAGTGTAAAGATAAGCCGAATTTACTTTCCCATGGCAACAAATAATCGATCCCCAATATCTCCAAGGCCAGGCACAATCATTCCCTTCTCATTGACACCCGAATCAATGGCTCCAGCCCACACCTCCACCCCTTCGGGCCAAGTTCCAGCAGCACGCTTAACACCTTCTGCAGAAGCAAGCACGCTCAGCATAAGGACCTTCTTAACGCCCCACTCTCGCAAAAGAAGGATGGCTGCCTCGGCTGTGGCACCTGTTGCAATGACTGGGTCCAGAAGGACCGCGAGACTTGCGGCTGCGGTGTTCGCTCCTTGGTTGAGAGATGCGGGCGAGGCGGGTGAGAGCTCGCTTCGGTGGAAGGGGAGATTGTTGTAGTATTCTACAGGCTGCAGGGTTACTTTTTCGCGGAAGAGTCCTAGGTGGTAGACCGGGACTGGGGTTGGGAGGAGGTCGTTTAGGGCTTTTTGTTTGTTAGTTGGAAACGTATATGGATATGGATTAGATTGGGGGTGGGTTTGTTGGAGGGCAGCAAAGTTGGGTGGCTTTGCATTGGGCAGTGCAGGTTTTAAGTTTGGTTTGAGATGCAGATGCAGACACAGGAATGAATGTCCCATGGGCAGGGAAACAATGGTAAAGGTAGAATGGAGATGGGTAAGGAATAAGTTTATAGCTGAAATATCCAGTACGTACCGTCCACCATGCCTAGCCCAGACCGCAGAATTGGAACTAGAGCCAGATCTGCCGGGTCAATGCCCTGGGTTTCATATTCGATGCCGAGAGGGGTGCGATCCTGTAGGGATGTTAGTCTTCATGTTCGGGGTATTTTCCATGACTTATATGAGCCACTGTGACTCTTACAGTTCCGGTCTTGATTGTCTTAAGCCCTGCAAAGGCTTCGACTCCCAGAATTGTGGCGATGTCATGAACTAGACCTCTGGTCTCGCGTGGAGTGGTAGACTCTGAGCGGATGAGGGAGAGCTTAGCTTGCAAACAGGGGTGGGAAGAGACATGGACATTCTGCGGAAGCGACATGATGAGAACACAAGAAGAGAACTGAGATAGAGAGAGAAGAGAAAGAGAGAAAGAAGAAGAGAAAGAAGAGGAGAGAGGGAGTAGCAGTGCCAGTCTTATCTACTTCCCCTCTATACTCCTGTTATCTCCACCTGACCCACATCGGTCTCCGGCTCTTGGCGTTCTCCAACTCTTCCCTTTTTTTTGTTCTCTCGCTCGTCTCGATAGCAAGGCAAATGCCTCCAACTGACCTACTAGGGGCCAGTAACCCAACCTCTCCACCGGATCCTGAATCTATAAACCCATCTCAACAATGGAATCCCCCCGAGCACGCGCCCAAGGTCGCATCTGCACCCCTCTCTAAACACGCAACCCACCTCTACACCGTCTCCTACCTAATCTTCTTCTCATTACTGGGCACATTAGCCCGCCTCGGCCTCCAAGCCCTCACATTCTACACGGGCGCGCCCGTCGTCACAGGCGTGTTATGGGCGAACGTGAGCGGCAGCCTGGTAATGGGCTTCCTGATCGAGGATAAGAATTTGTTTCTGGAGGAATGGGGCGAGAAGCCAGTACAAGATGATAAAGACGCGCCACCAGATGCACAAGCAGTTGAATCCCACGCGAAGAAACACAAAGCTGTCAAGAAGACAATTCCGCTGTATATCGGCTTGACGACTGGTTTCTGTGGTTGCTTTACGTCCTTCTCGTCTTTTATTCGGGATGTCTTTCTCGCGCTGGCTAATGCCCTCCCGGATCCGTCGCTACCTGCTGGGTCGTCCATTGCGTCGCGTAATGGCGGATATAGCTTCATGGCGCTGGTTGCTGTTATTCTGTTGACCGTATCGCTGAGTCTATCGGCGCTGATCTTCGGAGCGCACCTCGCTCTCGCGTCGGCGCGCTTGACGCCTACTGTTCCTTTCAAGTTCACGCGATGTGTCTTGGATCGGGTGGTTGTCGTTTTGGCTTGGGGTTGCTGGCTCGGTGCCATTTTTCTGGCCATCTGGCCCCCAGACCGACACGATGGCCCGGATGTCTGGCGTGGCCGGGCTGTTTTCGCCCTTGTCTTTGCGCCCCTTGGGTGTCTGCTTCGATTTTATGCATCGCTTCACCTCAATAGCCGTATTCCTACGTTCCCACTTGGTACGTTCACGGTTAATATCTTTGGAACTGTCATCGAGGGTCTTTGCTATGATCTCCAGCATGTCAGCGGGCTTGGCGCTGTCGTTCCTACTGCGTTGACTGGATGCCAGGTGCTGCAGGGTGTGATGGATGGATTTTGTGGAAGTACGACGACTGTCAGTACTTGGGTAGCTGAGTTAAATGGGTTTTCTCGTCGTCGCCATGCTTATGTGTATGGGGCTACGAGTGTGGTTGTGGCCCTCGGGTTCTTGGTTGTTATTATGGGTTCATTGCTATGGACTCGTGGGTTTGATGATCCTGTCTGTGGATGACAGTGTCTTTTATCTTAATGTGTATGATATGATGCAAATAGAGTAATGCTCACTGTATAAGTTACTAATAGTTAATAGTTTGAGATGGGCATATCATCACATTCATTCAACCCATCATTATCGCTCAACATCATAAGCATATCAGACTCCTACTTTGTTTCTTCTCTCTCTCCTTCTGTTCCTCATTCTTGACCTCCTCAACCTCAACCCCAGGCCCAATCTCAACAGGACTCCTCCCCTCCCTCACATCCTTCCCAAGACTATGCCTCCTACCAACCTCCGAAGAAGTCAAAGCAATCCCAACAGAAGCAAAACCACTGTCATCGGCACTCCCGATCCCTCTCCCTCCAGTCCCAGCCCCCAGCGGACTCAAAGGACTCACAGGACTAAGCGGACTCCCAACTCGAGTCAAACGAGACTCCCACTTCTCATTTGCATACAGCTTAGTCCCACTCCCTATGCCCATGGCAATCCTTTCACTCACACCCACACCCCTACCCGTACTTGAACCAACCCCAACCCCGTTCCCACCTCCAACTCCAATATCCATCCCATGCACAGGCAACTCAGCCCGTCCCTCAGGCATGGCATACCGGTCCAACATCTTCTCATGGACACCATCATCACCAATCGTGAACGCACCCTTGGACCTAGCAGTGACACCGGCTTGACCACCCGTGACTGCCGTCGTCGTTCCTAGCAGGGGATCTGCCGTGGCATTTGTGTTTCGAACAAGGAGAGCTTTGCGGGCAAATTCTTGGACTTGGAGGCGGTTTTCGAAAGCTGTCGTTCTTAGATTTGGATTGAATCCTGAGAAGGATAGGGGAAAGAGATGGGGCTCGGTTGGTGTAGATCTGTGGATCTATACGTCCAAAGATAAATATGGATGGAAATTCACTCACCACGCCAGACAACCACATATACACCCATCACGACGCCGCATAGAGCGAGGAAACCAAACATTAATCCCAGCTCGTGGCCGAGGGAAGGCATTGGTGTGTAGGGGGGCCATGTGTTGACAGCCATGGTTGCGGAGTTTGGCGAGTCTTGTTTCGATTCGAGGAAGAGAGGCTTCAGATGGGATATAGAATTTGCTCGTCTCGCCGGTCTTGGGGGGATTTATTGTTGAGAAGGACTTGGGGGACCATCTACTGGAAACCCTGAAAATGTAGAGTGCAGTATAGTACTGTACGAAGCAATGTGCCACACGGTAGTTTGGTTTGCTCTTGGGCTGTTTGCTTTTTAACTGCAAGAGTACGGGGAAATATAGGGGTCAAGATGCCATGGAGACTAGACACTGCAGGTCTACAGTGCAGTAGTAGAGGAGGACGGGTCAAGGATGAGAACAAAGAAATAAATCCCATGTCCGCAGACCCCCCGACCCCCCGCCTACAGTAGACTGTGAAAGGAGGCGCAGACCAATTACTGTAGAGTCACATAAAGAAACGAGGCAAAATCAAGGGTAAACTGTATAATCACATCGTATTGGCCATATCTATATACACTAATTAAAGGGTTAGTAAAATCATGACATGTACACAAAGGAACATTTCAATAAGAACAAATAGGTATCATGTACAACATGTACTGTATACAGACTGCAAATCTATACTCCCGGCAGCAAGGAACAAACATCAAGTTGGCAAGAACAGATGCAAAGAAATGATGAGCCACAAAGGCGAAAAGAAAACAAAAAAACAAAAAATGGCTCAAATGATCATGGCGATGATCCAATTCCACGCCGGAGAAAGGCTATGGATGCAAGATAGACAATAAAATAGTCAGAAATCCGCTGCAAAGTCTGAACTGAACTGGGAATAGGAATAGGAATAGGAATGGAGAAGAGGTCCACTTGGTGTAAGCGGATCAAGAGGTGGACTTGGGGGTCGGGCCCGGCGTTTCACATGTCATATCGAGAGAGAAGGAAGAAAAGAGGTCGTGGAGAAGGGCATAGAGATCAGAGTCGAAGGTGAAAAGGGTGAAGTCGAAAGGAAAAAGGTAAAGGGAAAAGGATGAAAGGCAAGCGTTGGTATTCCACTCCATATAGGAGAAGAATCACCCCAGCATGACAGCCGCCAGCGCAGTAAAGGTCAAGCCAATAGCCATACCAATCCACGGCGTCTGACCCAGGGAACCTTCACTGCGCGCCTGGAGCACATGTCTGGTAGCCAGCTTTCCCGCCTCGTCAACAAACACCGAGTCCAGACCAGCAACTGGAACGAAGCGGTCCCGATCGCGTACACCCATTTCCGCTAATGAGACAGTGGGCGAGTTGTGCGCGAACTCGGAGGAAACGGCAGATCTAGTCGCGGGTTGTTGTTGTGATTCGGTGAGAGCTGCGGCCGGGGCCAACAAGGCCAGGAGAATTGCTGGTTTCATGGTAGGCGCAGGAAATAGTAGATATTCGAGTATATAGAGGGTGGGTATGTATGGAGATTGACTGGTATGTGATACAATGCTTGGGGTTGGTGCCTGCGAGAGACAAGCAACGCCAAGCTGGGTTGGTGCGGGTCGTAGTCGTGGGGTTGTCTTTAGTTGGCGAGGCAACACACAACGGTTGCAGGGTCTGGAGGTTTTGTGAAGGTGAGGGAACTTCGTAGGATATGTCTTGGATCTTGCACTCAAGATTGGGGTTTGAGGAGGGGGGGTTCAGGACATGCCACGCCCGTTTAAGTGTGTCGGGTTGTCGCAGGAGTCAGGCAAGCGGGAATAGGGGGCCAAATTGGTCGTCCGTACAGAGCCTCCTCACTTAAAGCTCAGGTCTCGCCCTTGCTCTCCCCCTGAATCCAGATCTCGAGTCCTCTCAAAATAGTGAGAAAAGAAAGGAGAAAGGGGGAAGAAAACCAAGAAGCAAATTGCTGGTGATTGGTTGGTTGGAGTCTCAGGGTCGTGGGGGCTCCTAAGGCCATCATGTGATTGGCTGACAGCTCCCGTATGGCTTCATAACAGTAGTTATTTGCTTGAGCTATTGGATTAGATTATTTACAATTGATGGACCCCTTTTCGTCATTGACCCTTCTCTTGGACGGCCTCGGTTGGCTTGCCCGGCTCTGCATGCTCCGTATTAGACTCCAGTTCCTGCTGAGGGTCCAAAAATCCCAGGCGTTTCAGCTTGAGATATTTGCGCATCCTGCGAGCTTGAATCATAGCATCACTGGGCAATTCGTCCTTCATCTGTAAGTTCCGACCACACGGCCGACAGTAATATCCAGAAGAAAAGTCCCCCGCGTCAACAAGTCTACGCCTGCTTCCAGGTAAGGTGATATCACCACAATGCTGGCAAGGACTCTTCTGTTTCCGCGCGGTAACAAACTTGGCCAGTTTCCCACGTAGCACCTTCACAGTCTTTAACTGCTCCTCGGTCGGTAATTTATCTTCAAGGCCCAATCGCCTCGCACAAGACCGACAGTAATACCCAGCCGATGAATCCCCCGAACTAACAGACCGCCGCTTCTTTTCCGGAGTAGCAGGTTCACCACAGTGATCACAAGGATGTTGTCGGTGATGCGCCTGCGCAACCGGAAGCTCAGAACTAGGCCCGAGATCACTGTACTGAATCGGATTCTGGTCATTCTCCATCTGTAGCAGGGCCTGGAAAGCCGCACGCTGCACACATGTCCGGCAGTGGTAGCCTGCGTCGGGGTTGTCCCGATCGATGAGTTTGCGCTTGGAGCCTGGGGTAGTCACGGCCCCGCATTGGAGGCATGGGCTCGGCTCATTGACCACACGGCTTGCCCTATACAGTCTGCGTCTCTGCATCGATGCAAGTTGCTCTTCGTTCGGGAGGACGCCGTGCAAAGCGAGGGTGCGGATGCAGGCGCTGCAGTGCCAGCCCATTGAGCGGTCTTCGGGATCCGCTCGTCTTCGGCGCTTCGGGTTTACACTACCTCCACAGTGAGCGCAGGCCTCTCGTTCAACGCTTGAGGAGTTATGTCGGCATTGGCTGATCAATGGGGGTTTGCCATAGGTTTGAAGGGTATGTGTAGGTCTCAAGAGATCGGCGAGTAACTTCGATGTGGATGGAGCTTTGGTGGTATTTCTCGTTGAGAAGTGATATGCGCGAATGCATTCATGAGGTTGCGAGAATGGACTCAGTAATTGAAGAGTTTGTTTGATAGTCTGGCCATGGCGAAAGGCAGGCAGGTGTTGTATGAAAGGGCGCAGCGACATCGTAAAGGTTCGTGCTGAGGGCACTCAGTTGGCTCATAGAGGCATTGTATAAGTAGTGTAGTCGACGGTCAGGTTGGCATTCCTGTTAAAGCGTTGGAAGGGTTATATGAAAAAGATACGAACTTGAGACTCCCAGCGCGATGGAATGCGCGTGCTTGGTCTTGGCACATTTGCCTCTGGTGCCTCAAGAATCAGGCTTACATAAAAGGATGTTACTAATCGATCTGAATGTTTGCATCGTTTGATACTCTCAGGGCATCTCTTCTATTCTATGCGAATATTCACAGTCCAGTGGATGTAACCACTCCATGCATAAATGAACAGAAATATATATCGCTATGACTTTTTCTCGAAATTCCTTTAAATCGTAATGGGTTGAGAACGCATTGGGATCTTCAAAGCATCTCATCCCAGTTAGGCGTGACAGTAAACTTGCCAGCCACCTCACCCATCGACCAAACCCGGTTCTCGGACTGGTCTGCCTCGGGGTCGTCCTCCTCAGCATCTGCGTTTGGATTTACAGGAGGTGAGACTATAACGGCCTCCTGTGCGAATTGAACAGGTGCACCGCGGTCAAGTTCCATGCTGATGCCACCCCAGTCGAGGGTCACACGTCCGGATTTGTGGACATTCAATTTGCCAACACGGCCAGCTGGTAAGGACCAGGGTTTATTGGCGGTGATAATGTCTTTTTCTTGCTTTACTGCCGTGGGCTGTGTGGTTTCGACAATTTCAACTTCCTCGCCTCCTTCGCGTTTTATCGGGTTCTGGTTTTGGGGAGCGGCTTCGGGTTGTTCTTGGGCGTTTTCCGTGCCCACAATTCGAAGATTTGGTGTCATTGGAGGGAATTGCATGAGAAACAGCTTGCCGGATAGGTAACTCTCTTCTTCTTCCTCTTCGTTTTCCTTTTCGACACCCTGTTCCTCTGGGGTGGTGCTGGCATCTGCTGTCGAAGCTTCTGTGGCGCCCTCTGTCTGTGCTTCCGGTGTGGCCTTCTTCGTTGAGGGTGGGGGTACCAGAAGTTCCTTGATCATAGATAGATCTTCCATGTGACGGTCATATTCTTCGATTTCCTCCTTGGTGTGGAGGAGGCTTCGTGGGTCTGGGAGCTCAGGTTCGGGGGAGGGTACGGGTTGCGAAGATCGTTCTGCTGTACGTCGCTTGGTAGGACTCTGGCTCAAAGCTGAGCGCACGCGAACGCTCTGTGTGGGAAGGAACCCATCGTCGTCGGCGTGAGGGATATCACCCGCCATAACGGTATCCTCGTCCTCGGGATCAGGCTTGATACTGGGCTCATCTGTGCGTCTCTTCTCGGACTCCTTGGCGGCCTTCTCCTTCTCGGCCTTCTCACGAAGCTCAGCAGCCCTGCTAGAGCTAGACTCCATATTGACACTGATAACCCGCTCCTCATGCTCATGGCGCGGGATACGAACAGGACGTAGAGCCCGTTCGATAACAGACCTACTAGGCATCTTCCCTTTCGTATCCTTGTCCATATCATAGTCATCCTCGTCACTGTCGAGGTTGATCTGATCGATGCTCATGCGAATTCCACCTTCATCGTCTGAAGAGTCATTTCCACGCGAACGATCCCCACCAGTGTATCCAGAGCGATTCCGCCCTGAGCCAACACCACCGCCGCCGCCACCTCCACCACCACCAAATCTACCACCACCCCTCTTACCACCTCTTCCACCAAATCCACCGCCCATACTCATGCCCGCACCACCACGACCACGGAACCCAGCACGACGAGCCGTACCACCACGCCCACGCTGAATAGCAGCAGCCTCCTTAAGCCGCTCATTGTATCGTTCCTGTTCAAGCCTCTCAATCTCCTCTCGCTCCTGTTTGCTGCGACGCCCAACAGCCTTGGGCTTGTATTTCAAAACAGGTTTCGCGGGCTCACCACCTAGAGCAGAGGGGGGTCGACTACTCGGCGCAATGCTACCGGAGGGTGTGCGTTTGTTCAGAGATTGCAGTCGCTGCACAGAAGATCGGTTGGCAGCGGCGCCGGCTGGCGCGGGTGAATCTTGCATTGAGTCCCCGCCTGCGGGAGTTGTAGAAGTTGAGGTTGTGCGAGCTCCGCGTGCCGCTGTACCTCCACGCGCGCTACCGCGGGGTGCTCCTTTTGGAGGCATTGTTGCTCAGTCAAGGCGCTCGGAGCGGCTTGCTGGAGGGTTGAAAAAGTTCGTAGGGATGGGTTGGAGTGCAGCGCGTTCGTTTTTGAAAGTGCGCTAAGACTTTTTGTTGGTAAGACTTTCGGACCTCGAGGAGACGAGACGAGAATACACGAATATCAGTTCGCCGGCGATCAATGCGGGCAGTTGAAGTCTTGAAGGTTAAGCTCTTCAAAAAAATTGCGGGGCCATTCACACCGCCTATGTCACGTGACTCCATGCACCGTTCTGTTGCTTGTTGGTGAGGATACACAACCATGGGGAACTGTGTAACAAAATTCGATTTCTAAGATATATAATGGCTCCATGGAGTGCCATATTATTGGCAAGACCGACAAAAGCGAGATTCACAAACCTTGTGTGTCTTACTGTTGTTACAAATGGCTCGACGTGGAAGTATATATTTCCATTTCTGGTCCAACCGAACACCACATCAAATCGACATAAACAGAGATAACACCCAGTAGCATTGATTCCGAAGGAGCGAATGGAAGTCACAAGAAGCATATAGCCCGCAAAAACACTAAGACCCCGAAGGGACACAACAACAATTCAACCGCTTGGAAGTGTATAATGAGGTCAAAAGCATGGGTTGTAACCAAGGAAGGGAGTGTAGAGGAGGAGGGACAGGTGATGACAATATAAGGAGTGTAAAGTTATCTGGAAGTGGCCAGAAAAGAAGGGATGGGAGATAGTGAGGGTGGCAAGAGAAGGGAGAGATCCCATGGTCACGGAGGGTAGAGATGCGATGCATTGCGCTCTAATATAGCGATGGCAATCGCTGCCAGACAATCGACTAGCGCTTCCGCTTCTTGTTCTTGTCTATTATAGACGCGGAAATGGGAGGCGTCGCTGGCATTTCTGGGAAGTCGTCTTCGTCTTCCAGCATTTCTTCCCCGTTCTTCTTCACAGGAACGCCCATGTGACGACCGTAACGGCCTTTACGCCCGTTTCCTTCGTCTTCACTGACACAGCCTTCGATGCCAATGCCGGCGTCCTTGCAGCGTCCGCACGGACGTTGGCGATCGCAGCCCTTCTTGCTTTTGCGGCAACGTTGGCAGCGAGGCTTGGTCGAGAGGTCCTCCTCATCCGCACCGAGTTGGTGCTGGAAATTGACCGAGCCCCCAGAGACCTTACGAGAAGAAGCCGGGCTGAGAGGTGGCACTGGAGGCAGTGACTTGTCAGACGGCTTGCGCGGAGCCGGGGCAGCGATCTTGCTCTTGACCTGCTTCGCAGACGGCTGCTTCTGGTTCCGAACCTTGAAGGACATTGGGCGGCTCTTAGGCTTCTTTGACTTGGGAGCAAACTCCTTGTACAAGATGTCTTCTTCACCTTCGCTCTTGATACCATCATCGAGACCATCTGAGCTGTGATCACTGCTGTCAGCGCTAGGGAGGATATCATCCAAGCCCTTGTGATGGCGCTTAATGGTGCCAGGGGGAAGCATTGGGCTTGAGTCTAGCCTCTGGCGGCGAGCTGGCAAGTCATCCTCGTCTTCACTGAAGTCTTCACCATCACTGGTAGCGCCAGTGGACGAGGCGGCATCAGCAGCACCGCTGAAGGCGTCGTCCAATGTTGAAGCCGACGTGCGACCGTGAGAGAAATTGGACGCATCGCCGAGACGTATCAATTGCATTGCGACATCTTCATCAGAGATACAGCTTGCGATAGTGGGATCGGGTGTGGGCAATACCCCCGGGCCACTCACTCGGCTAGCTGAGTAGCCTCCTGAGGCGTCGCGCATGCGATTATTTTCGGGGACAACAGGTGTCGCATACACCGTATTGCGACCCGATTGAGTACCATATTCACTGTGACCATAGCTTTGCGGCGATGGAAGCGCTTGTTGATAACTATATGGGCGTTGGGGAGGGCGGGCGAAAGGCGACCCAGCGCCTTCCTGACCAATCGATCGACGTTGAGGAGAGATGGAGGAGGTAGAGGTAGTGAGGGGGCACTTGAGGAGGAACAAATAAGGGGAGTTCCTAAGGCAGAAGAAAATTAGCGCTGGATCAAAAAGGCGAAACAGTTGGGGGGTATTTACAGAGCTGTCAAACTTGGGTCGTTTCCGACGACCATCTTGCAGTATGTTTTCCATGCTGATATCAGAGCTAGCGAAGAGCTCATTGCGAGCCCTACGAGCATAAGCGCTCTCTGTATCGCTATAATCATCATCATTGAAGCCTCCATGGATACTCGAGCCACGGCTTTTGTTACCCGCTCGAGAGCCTGGCTTATGTTGAGAAGCGCTGCGCATACTCCTGTTCGAAGGAGAAGTGCTGCGCTTCCTAGCCATGCGTGAGGCAGGGCGCGATGGCTGGTCCAGCACTGGCGCCACGCCATCGGCCATCTGGAAAGGTTCGGCCAGACTGGGCCGCTTGCGAGGCTCGACAGGGAAGCCATTGTAAAAGTGATCCCCAAAAGGTTGAATAGGAATGACTCGTACATATACAGTCCTGTTATTTTTGAGGTTCTCGTACCTTGCGATGAGGGTGATGCCATGTTCATCCTCGAAGCTAACCCCACTGGCAGTACCATCGTAGATGCCATAGAAATTTTTGACCGTGGTCACAATCGAGTCCGTCGTATCATGAGGATAAATTTGAACACGCATGGGAATCCGAGCTCGAACCTTGGAGTTTTCATCCAAAAGCAACTCGAAGGCGATGTTCTTGGGCGCTGGGCCCTTAAGCGACGGGTCTCTCATGGCAGTCTCTGCCAGACCCGACGGCTCAAGGCCAGAGTGCCCTTCATGGACCGCTTGCATGGCAAATCCAGAATACGAGGAAGTCCTCCACTGCTATACCAAAGACTGCATCAACCCACTGCTTGTGTGCGATAGAGGGCGGGAATGGGGTCCATGGCGAGAGGAGAAGGGTATATGTAGAGGGGAGAACCCATCGAACCTACCAAAGTAATAGAATTCGAAGAACCAGGCTGATGGATGGGCCACCCCCGGGGTCTAAATGTATAGATACCTTCGAAGCAGAGCCTTCGATGGTGAGGGGAATGTGTAGTCGCAAGAGTCGGGAGCGACTTAGAAGGGCAGACGTCGGCAAACCTGATCGAGGACAAGACGCACTGATTAGCACAATGGGATTCCAAGCGCTCGCATATGCAATGAGGATGGGATTTTGTCAGAGGGGATGATGAATGTGTCGCTAACCGAGTCCGGCCGACCTTGGGAGCGGGCTTTTGGGGGGAGAAAGCAAGCGAGACCCGGAAGAGGATGGAGAGAAACACAAACACACCTAATTCGACTCAAATCGAATCCTCCAGTGTCGCAAGTTATCCGGATGGTCCAAAATAGGGTCGAAGGATCGATTCGATGGGGGGAGGGGGGAAACTGGAAGTGGACGAGGGGATTGGCGATTCTACGAAGCGCTAAAGCTGTGTCAGCGGTGACATACCCCAGAGTGGAATCGAAGATCTCGAGGCGAATCGGCCAGAGGAAGAAACGTACTCAACCCGGGTTGACAATGTTGAGGAGGAAGAAGGTTGAGGAGGGTGCGTACGATGGTTTCACCTAAAGCGAGAAAACGGCCTGGGTCGGTGACATGGCGATTTGCGCTTCCGGCATCAAAATCGCCGTCACATTCCAAAGACCGCCAAACTGGCTCTTTTACCGATGTTTAAACTGCCTACAATATTTCCTACCTACCATCGAATCCTACTTGTCGGTCTATGGGCCATGCGCAAAACGCTGTCGCAAACCCGGATGCCATTGCGCCGAGTGACGGGAACAGTCTGTCTAACCCCCTTGTGTTCGAAATGCAGAGTGTAATCTAGAGAATGTGATTCCGAGTATGAAGAGCCTGAACTATTGCGCCAACTGTAGAGAGAGAGAGCAGACTCTCGAGGCGCAAATTAAGATAAAGAAATAGCGCCCAATGGATTCTCGGGCGTGCAGCTAGTTTTCTAGCTCGACCACGTAGCGATGCTCGTTTTGTGGTCCACTCCAGACACCGAATTGAACATTGACCCTTCCCCCCCCCCCCAATCCTGGCCCTTACCCTTGTCGCATGATTGATTGGCTATGCGGAAATGATAATATGACTGACCGCGACACTTGGGATGTCTTTGAATGCGACATCGCTCCGGGAATCGCAGCTCAAGAGGTCCTTTGATGGACCGGTCTGGGGGACTAGAAGCGCAAAGGATATCGCCACCCAGCCATCAGCTCTGACCGAGTGTCGGTCTCTCTCTACCTCTCGATTCAAAAAAAAGGGCCTGAATCGCATGACTATTCCGGAGTGTCTCGCATGATCTGCACTTGAAATTTACCCCTCCTCGGGACCTTCTGAAGTTCAAACCCGCATCGAAATTACTGGGCATTCTTGGATTCGCACTGAAACTTAGGGTCTCCGCAAGGCAGCGATTCCACCCTTCTATTGATTTGCTCGGTAAATAGGGGGAATGTTCTAGGTGGAGTCGCATGTTGAGAAGATCTACGAATTGCGCTAAGAATCTGGCTCATTTCGGAGCCGATGAGCGATGGCCAGTATCGTGGACCGCGAGAAGACACCCAGGACCCCGCAGAAGACAAAAGACTCGCAATGATGAGGCAGGTGGGTTTCGGCTGATCACAAAGCTGCCAAACAGGAACCGCTTGATTCCGGCGACGGCGGTGTGGCTCTCACGTGGTCTCGTGTGGATAGCGCGTTGGATCTAGATATTCTCCGCAAAGGGCGATTAGAACCCACATGATGCAGGGTGGCCGGATTTTATGTACGGGATGAATCAAGTATATTAAGAGACACCCCGAGTCGATTTTTCAGTCCTTCCAGTTTTCTGTGTAGCGCCAGTGCAGTCAAAACGATATTTGATGGACTTCGGAGGAGACGCGCCGATAAGGTTATGACGTAAAGATCCAGACAAACAATGCAAACACCACCAAACGGAACAAACATTCAGCCCTTCTTTCAACGTCGATCGCCGATCAAAGTATATAAATGAAGATGCCATCGGAAGACCTGGGGGCAAAATGAGCAAAGCCAATTCTGTAGATGACTCCTCTTCCACCAAACATGGTAGTTGCCTTGGCCTCCGGTGCAGGCTTTGTTCTGGGCCCTGGGCGTACCTGACCTGCCAGTAGTCAGCAGCTTCTGCGCAACGGGCAGGTCCAGTGTGCCGTACCGCCTTCCCAAACCAGACTAGCGGCATAGTTGTGAACAAATACATTTCTTAGACAGGGACGCCCTTTCTTGCGCAATCCTCCCTTCCTCGTCCTTTCACGCCCTCGATGCTTTGCTGTGCTCTTGTGTCTCTTTCATCGCCGCCCAAATAACGGGGAAACAAAACGGAAAAAGGAACGAGTGGTTTCTTGAGCGGGTCCGAGGACTGTTTATTTTGCCCGGGTCAACCAATCAGCCGCCCCCGACTACCCGTCACTCAGTTCAGCAAAAAGTAAACAACGTCCTCCACCTGCATACTCGACAACAACACACCTCGCAACAACACCAGATCATTCATCATGGATGCGAAGGTAAGCTTAATTGATCATGATTCCATGCTATTTCTCTATGCACTCTTCATCACAATTTCTACGCGTCAATCGCGTGGGAGGAAGCTATACCGCGTTGTTGTTGCCTGGCATCCTGGGCAACATCTCGTCTATTGCTCTTGTGTCTTCGGGATACTTCAGACGTGCTCTTCACCACATAAAGACGGGAAAATTGTACTGACCAAAGTCTAAGCCACAGAGATTCCGCGTCTGTGGGGACGAAAACATGCCTCCTTCGTCCTTGCAAAACCACAAGACACTTCACCAGCGCAACAAGTCCAGTCCCGCTCTGAACATGATGGCTCAGAATGGTGCAAAGCCTGGTGTGCGCCGTGCCTTTGGCGATGTCAGCAACACAAAGGGTATGAGCCGCGATGACTCTGCCTTGGTTGGGAAGCCGGCTGTCCTGCCCGAGAAGGGACTGTCTCAACCGGCTCAGCGACAGATTCCTTTGGCTATCACCAAAGGTCTCGCTGATAAGGTCACTGCGGCGAAGCCGATGAACCCTGCCGGAAAAGCGTCCAAGACCAAGCGCAACAACACTATCTTCAAAGATCAACTGCAAGCCGTCCCCGAGAAGGACACATCCAAGGAAAACAACAAGCCCATTGAAACAGCCCCAGCCCCCGTGAAGCCGGTCGAAGCCAAGGTCACCCTCAAGGAAACCGAGAAGGCCACCATTGCTCCCGAACCATACGCTTCGCGTAACGTGGAACTCCCAAGCCACATCGAATCCGACGCAACCATCTCGGAGCCCGAAGACATAAAGGAGGTTCAGTTCAAGGAGCCAGTGTCCGCCGTGTCCGAACCCGAAGAATACTGGGATGAAGACGAGACCGAGTACTACGCTGCTCCTACCTACCCCTCGCGTGGAGACAACACCACCGGAGGAACTGCTGTTATTTACCCCAAGATGAACGCCATGACCAGGCGCCAGATGTTCCAGGCCAAGGATATTGTTGAGAGCCAATTGACCGAGGAGGACATCATTGAGGATCGATATGATACAACCATGGTCGCAGAATACAACGACGAGATCTTCTTGCATCTGCGGAAGAAGGAGGTATGTGAACTTCTTTATCGGAAAAAAGGATGAGTTTGGCTAACCAGTGACTTAGATTGACATGCTTCCTGTTCCTGATTACATGGCGAACCAATCCGAGATACAATGGTCCATGCGTTCAGTTCTCATGGACTGGCTTGTCCAGGTACACCAGCGCTTCAATTTGCTTCCTGAGACTCTGTATCTCACTGTCAACTACATCGACCGCTTCCTGTCTCACAAGATTGTCTCTCTGGGCAAGTTGCAACTTGTGGGAGCAACTGCCATCTTCATTGCGGCCAAATTTGAAGAGATCACTGCCCCTTCAGTCCAGGAGATTGTTTACATGGTCGACGGCGGCTACACTGTGGATGAGATCCTGAAGGCTGAGCGCTTCATGCTTACCATTCTCGACTTTGACCTGGGGTGGCCCGGCCCAATGAGCTTCCTCCGACGCATCAGCAAAGCTGATGAGTATGATCTGGAAACTCGCACTGTGGCCAAGTACTTCCTTGAGCTCACCATTATGGATGAGCGCTTTGTCTGTACTCCTCCCAGCTTCGTCGCTGCTGGAGCCCACTGCCTCGCTCGCATGTTGTTGAACAAGGGTCAATGGGTACGTTTCTTTTTGGTTCATCTTACCCTGAATTCCAAGAAACATTGCTAACAATTGATATCAGACTCCTGCCCATGCCTACTACAGCGGCTACCTCTATGCTCAATTGATTCCTGTGCTTCTCACCATGATCGAATGTTGCGAGAACCCTCGCCGTCACCACGCGGCCATCTTTGAGAAATATTCCGACCGTCGCTTCAAGCGCGCTTCGGCATTCGTTGAAGTTGAGCTTGCACATGACTTTGCCCTCCCGGAAGTCTCCAGTCTGAGCGACCCTGATCGCCTCGACGGCACGGCCAACTACTAGATGATGTTCCTCTCAACTTCTATGCCGTGGTTTGCATACATAATGCGCGTTGTATTCGAGACCCATCGGTATCCGCAGCCATCCTCGTTCTCTGCTTTCATTTACTGCTTGTCGTTCAACGCAGGGCGTTTCGGTTTGAACAGGCGAATCGGTTCTTTTTTTTTGCATGGCGTTCAATCGGTGGCCTTATCTTTCACGTTTTCTCTTTCCTTGCCATTCTCAGCTGACGACGAGATGACTTGACGCCTCAAGTTTCCGGACATGGGATTATTGATCGGAAGGCGTTGACGACGGACCATTACTCGCTCGACGTCCTTGATTTGTTTCGTTTTTTTTTTTTTTTTTCATTCGCGGGAACATACCTCATTCCATTTGTTCATGCGTAATTCCCCCATCCATGTCGATGTCTTTTCCATGGAACTGTCTTTGCCTTAATGATCTTTCCCCCACGCACTGCTTGCAAATTGCCTGAAGATCGTTACATACTGTTTTTCCGTGGCGAGTCTCATGCATCTATTACTACGTGATTATTGCTACATAGCAGCTATTACCTAGTGATTATTGCATATTGAGATAGCCTTAGAAATGGTGCTGTTCAGATAGCAAATGGATTCAAATTTGTATTCCTGACTTCTTGATCGTCTTGTACTTTTTGGTAGCCAATTCAGCGGTAGTCTTTCATGAAAGTCACTTGGATGAGTCTGCTTTTCATGTCTTTTTGCCTTTTTGAATCCTGCCCACCGTCCGCTACGAGATTTCCTTAGTTGACTTGGGTCTTTGGGATCAATCATGGTTTTCGTTGACAAACACACTTCTATCTCCAAGAGCGTAAGCCAATCTCGGGCTAGAACCTCATACAGTAAACACTCTTCGGCAGAAGAAATCGCTGAACCCAGTTCTCGTATATCATAATTCACCAAATCCATCTGATGCGTCGGCATACCAAAGACGGTGGCGTGTGGTCAAAGTCACAGTACCAGTATCTTGTGATTTTGGCGCTCTCCAAGCTCGAGCACCACAAGTTCTGCATCCAGTCAAATTTCCAGTCGTGTACACCAAGTCCAAGAGATTCAGGGGAGGACATGCGAAGATACAGTCTGCTAGTCCGGACTGATCCCCAGAAGAGATTGGCAGATGAAGGCAGTACCCGACGAAGAATGCGATCCAGCCATCAACGCAGATATGGACTGTCACCGAAATCTACAGCTGTTGATGATCGTTGGAGTGATATGGGCAGACATGATCTTGGCTTCTCCATCCGTCCGCACAAATTCCAAAACCGCAATAATTGGTCGGAGGGGGCGTCAGGGAGGATCGGAGAAGAGCTCGCCCGTTGTTTCGATCTCAACGAGTAAAGCGAATACATGGACACAGTACGAGGACCACATCGTAGCGCTTGCAACGTCTCTTCAAAGGCAAGACCGCGAGCGCATCGGGCGCCAACATCGTTCGAGGTTTGAGCAGAAAGCATTCGGCGCAATATGCCCACCGGGGTTTCTCAAGCTGCACCTGGAGTTGAACTCGTAACTTATCATCACTGTTTACAAAGGAGAGAGGGAGAAGATGTATAGTCGGCTGTGGTGGGAGTATGGCTGTATCTTGGAGAATCCCCTTACATGTCCAAATCGTCTGCAAGAAGTCATCTGGGGCGTCAGGTCAATCCTTGAATCAAGTCTCGAAAGCGCATCATGGTTGATATAGATCGGTAACTACGCAGAATCCAGGCAGAGTAAAGTCTGCTAGGTAGCCCATTGAAGGGAATCGGCGATCACTATATGGTTTCGCTCAATAGTCTCAAAGTTTATATGACTTGGAATTCATACTCGACTTCGACAAATAACCTCACAATCACCATGATCCCATACAACTGATGAGTCAACTAGGCGTCCACGGGTCTTTCATATCACTACCACGCCCAGGCTGCGCTTTTTCTACCGCTACAAGTATATTTGATAAATCGGGCGTCAATAACGTGGCAGAAAGTCGTGATATACCTCGATTTGCTATGCTGCCACATAGTAATGAAGTATTCAATTCTCTCACTACTCAGTTTATACAAGTACTGTGCATGTTCGGTGATACTCGAGCGAAGTCTGTCTTATTCCTGTCGTCGCTGAGGCGGTCCAACATCTATCCAAGCCAAATCACTGATCCAGTCCATTGAATTCAATCAACTTCTTCACAGCTTCAATCACCCGATCACCAATACTGTTGCTCCCACCCACCCCCAATGATGGACTATCGAACCGCTCCGCAAGAGCTTCATCTAACATTGTGCGAAGCCGTGAGACGAGCACGCCGATACGTGCCCATCCACGAAGACGGAGCCAGCCGTCTACTACCAGACCGCGGCCCACGGTGTCTAATTCGATAGAGCCACAGAAGAGGAGCAGGGAATATGCGTTGAAGGCTGTAACGAAAGTATGTTAGAACCGAGTGAGGGTGACGTGTCGACGTCCAAGAATATAGAAGAACAGGGGTTGTGACTTACGAGTAAGATCCCGAATGAAGACCTTGCTTGTGGCCATCTTAGTAAAGTAACTAAGATAAGCCGCCGCATTAGGGTATCCCTGCGCAGAGAAGAGAATAGAACTAGGGTGAATGAAGACCCGTCCATTCTCCTGGTTGAAATACTTGATCGTGCGCGCATCAGGGTCAACCTCCACAGTGCCAGTAACAGAACTAGCGAACTTCTTATCAGGGAATGAGATCTGCGCCACCTGCGGCTGGAATGCGCCAGCGACGAGCGCGCGGATCAAGTTCCTGTTCCCGGCATTGCGGTTCCAGCCGGTCGACGCATCTGAATAGTCGACGGGCAGGATACCTGCGTCTTTGAGCGATGTGATGAATTGAGCGCGATTGGAGGAGATGTCGCGGAGGGTTTGGTGCGAGAGGAAATTCGCTGCACACCATGACTGCGTTCCCCAGTACCCGCCTTGAGAGCGGGTTCGTTCGGACCAGGCTTGGTAGGCTGAGAGGTCGGTGAGGAGGTCGCCGTCGCCGAGACGGGAGAACGAGGCTTTGGCTGCGTCTGCTTCGTCGCGTTTCTCGCGCGGTGAGACAAAGGGGCTTTTGACTGTTAGCATGGCGGCGATTGTGAGACATGGTTCCATGCAGCCGAAGATTGAGCCGTAGATCATTAGTTTTGCACAGCGGAGATCGGCGGGGATCATGGAGAGGTAGCGGCCTAGGGCTGTGAGTCTGTCATGGTCTAGGGCTCCGACGCGGTGTAGGAAGCTAAGGGCGCCTTCGACGGCTATGCTTTCTGGCGGGGTGATTGTGTTTGCTAGGAAGGTTGCCACGTCTTCGATCCCTTTCATTGATTTCACTGAAAGGCAGAGTTGTTCCAAGGGGACCCGACGGATTTCTGGGTCTGGGCGTTGCGCCATGTTGGATTCTGCTTTGCGCGTGTATAGCTTGTAGCATGTACCGGCGCGGACACGGCCTGCTCGACCGCGGCGTTGTTTGCAGGCGGCTTGGGAGGCCCATACTTCTTGAAGGCGGACCATGTTATCCTTCGGGTCGTAGCTTGTTTCTTTGACACGGCCTGTGTCGATGACGGCAACTACGTCTTCAATTGTGATAGAGGTTTCGGCGACGTTGGTGGCGGCAATGATCTTTCGCTTACCCCTGGGTGGGCTTTGGAAAACTCGACGCTGTTCAGCCGGGAGTAGAGAGGCGTGTAAGGGTAGAGGGTGTGTATTGGGAATTCTTTTCACTGCTGTCAGACACCTGTCGATTTCGAGTGTGCCGGGCAGGAAGATCAAGATTCCGCCTGGTTGATCTCCTAGCTGGGCATCAATGTATTCAACTGTCGCGGCAATCAGATCATAATTGATTCCCATGCCAATACTTCGTAGGGCTTTTCCGAGGGACTCCTCGCCTCGAGGCGTCTCTTCATCGTCCCACTCGTCGGCAAGTTCTGGCGCAAAGCCTGTGTCCCTAATAACATCGTCCAAGTAGTAGTCTTCGACAGGGTATGTTCGACCAGGGATGTTGACCAGCCCAACAGATCTCTGACCGCCAAAGTAGTTCATGAAGATACCAGCATCAAGCGTGGCACTCATGAGAATAACCTTCAAGTCCTGGCGATAACGCAAAACATCTCTTAGCAGCGCCAGAAGGAAGTCAGTATCCAGACTGCGCTCGTGAACTTCGTCAACAACCACATGGGATACATCCGCGAGGGAGCTCGAGACATTGCCATCTGCATCGCCACCAGATTGAATGCGACGCAACAAAACACCAGTTGTGACAAATGTGATCTTGGTTGAACCCGGCTTAGCCTTTGATTCGCCTCGAATCACATATCCGACTTCGTCACCGACTGTCGCGCAACGCTCATCACTGACTCGATCGGCAAGACCGAGGGCTGAGATTCGGCGCGGTTGCGTACAGATGATGTTGGCAGCGCCTCCGAGTCCGCGCTTGATCATGTCGTCCAGAACGAACTGTACAGATTGTGTACTCTTACCACTACCAGTTTCACCAGAGATGATAGTGACTTGGTGAGAGTTGATGGCTTCAATAATGGCTTGTTGGGTGTTCCATGCAGGAAGCGCTTTTCGTTTCCGACACATGTCAATCTGCGGAGCAGTCATCTGTTTAGCTTCCCAGGCATCTCTAATGGCCAAACTTCGTGGTGAGTCGATCTTCCAGTCGATGCCCCTCTTCTGTTTGCGTGAAGAGCGCACAGGAATCTCGGTGGTTTCAGCAGTTGAAGAGGCTGTCACAGAAGAAATTTCGCGCAACTTGCCTGGGTTTTCCATAATATTCGGTAAATTGACTTCAAGCCAATCCAGGATGTTGAATATCATAGATTCACCCGAGAAATTCTCCTCGGCATGTTGTACTGCACGACGGATCGCACTCAGGCGTATATAAGCCGGAACACCCTTAGAGTATATTGAGATAATAGGAGCCGTGGTAGGGTAATGAGCGGAGGGTTTTTGGAAACGGAAAGTTGTGTTCTCCGGAATCTCAGAGGCCTCGCTATTAATCTCGCACACCTTTTCGGAGATACGATGATAGCGTTCACCGAAAATGGCCTCCAAGGTGGATTGCTCTTCAGTCCAGAGTTCATCCTCCTCGTCGACCACAGACGGAGACGTGAAATGTGATCCGTGGACCAAAGTACCCTGCAAATTCTCGGCAGCTGCCAGCTCATCACCCTTTTTGCTATCCAAAACTTGGGAGCACATATCAGCTGGATAGCCCATTGAAGCCAACCGCTTTATCTTGCCTTCACGAGCAAGATCGGCCGAGCCAATGCTGACACCAGCTGAATACCCTTCTGGCAAACTCCAACGTGGGAGGTCATCGTCCGGAACATAGATCAGAAGCCACTCCAGAACCTCCTCGCGGTCTTTGCACTCCGCAGTAGCTTCTTCAACGTGACTGCGACGGAACCCTAGCCCAGAGAACTCCTCAACAATAGCTTTCTTTTGATTATCTGGGATTTTCACACCGTAAGGATTCCAGATTGTATGTTGTCGCAGAAGCCCTTCGATGTCTCGTCGAATGCGTGTACCCATGTCAACCTTGGGCGCCTGGGACCAGATGCGTTTCCCCTTGGCATCGCCGCTCCCTAACCCTAAGTCCACACCAGAGGCCTTCTCCTTTGCCTGGGCCTTCTCGCGATCAGCCCGTTTTTTCGCCAAATCAGCAGCAGCACTTTCGCGCTCTTGTTTGGCTAGGAAAGGATCTGCCTCATACATCCAGCCCTTCCCTTCCCGGGTATCTCCTGCCTTGATCGCACCAAAATCTTCCTTCCAAAGTTTTTTGTATGTCGGAGGCATCATCATGTGAATATTGCGCATATTGCATACTCTGAACAGAGCAAACGCTGCGGCGAAATGGCGCGCTTCAAGGGCTGTAGGTTGTCCGGCGAGTTGCTTGTGGGAAGGAGGGAGCTTCATTGGCGGAATAACGATCAATTCCTTTGTCTTAGGATCTATCTTCTTCATTGTAACGGCGGAAACAAAGCCATCTGATGTTTTAATCTGCAATTGTTGCGATAGATCAGTATTTGATTTAGTACACGTGTCTGCGGACACCACTTCGAAGGTATAGATACCATGCTGAATTCTGGTTTCTCCCATTTCTGCTTCTGACAATGCTCTGCAAGCATATTGACGGGCAGCTTGCCTGTCCATGATGCGCCGCCAATAACCTCTTTCACCGAGGGTTTCTTGGGCTCCTCCGGTGGCGCGGGCTTCTTCGCATCCCCTGCTTTCTCAGCGGCAGCCTTGGCCTGTTTTGTGCCAGGCTTGGGGCCTCCATGGCCGTCGCCTTTCTTCTTGGGGGCCATCTGTGTAGAGTTGTGAATGTTCGCAGAAATTGGAGATCGACTTTCTTTATGGGTGTCCCGCACTAAACCACTTTGGGATTTGCGGGGAGCATTTTGGGACGCCGATCTGAGACTCTTCAACTTGCGATACTACAAGGGGATTCTTGACTCTGTCAACCATGCTCCATGTTGTTAATCTCTACGTGACATCGTGTTTCACTTCATAATGTCCAGCTCAGAACCAAAACGTGGTCCTAGCAAGGACGACCAGAAGGAGCACACTGGGACATCGGAGAAGAGGAATGCTTGTAATGCAACTTCTCATGCTTTTTTTTCTCTAGGTTTTCCCTCAAAATAAACTGACATCAAGTGATTCAATAGTTACAGAGCTCCTCGCCCCAAAACCAAAGCAGCCGAAGCCTTCCCCCAGGGCACCATCTGAACGCAATGCTTCCAGAGGCCAAGCTACATTCGGTGCTCGCGATGGACTGGGAGCCTACATCGCAAAGCCAGAAAGATACCCTGCAAATGTGGTAGTATATCACAATGATGACTTTGTCGCAATCCATGACATGTTCCCAAAGTCATCATTGCATCTACTCCTTCTCCCACGCGACCAGACCAAAACACGTCTCCACCCCTTCGACGCCTTTGAAGATGCCGAATTCCTCTCAAAAGTAAAAACAGAAACATGCAAGCTTCGCAAACTAGCAGCGGGGGAGTTGCGACGAAAGTATGGGAAGGATTCTGCACAGGAGCAGGCAAGACAGGCAGCGTTGAGCGCTGATCCACCCCCGGACGAGCTGCCGCAGGGTCGGGACTGGGAAAAGGAGACCGTTGTCGGGGTTCATGCTGTACCATCAATGAATCATTTGCATGTCCACGTGCTATCTGTTGATCGATATAGTGATCGCCTGAAGCACCGGAAGCACTACAATAGCTTCTCGACTCCGTTCTTCGTTCCCATTGATGACTTCCCGCTGGCGGAGGACGATGTGCGGAGAAATCCCACTGGAGAGGGCTATCTCAAGAAGGATTTCACTTGCTGGCGTTGTGGAAGGGGATTCGGAAACCGCTTCGTGGAATTGAAGCTACATCTCGAGCAAGAGTTTATGGAATGGAAGAAGCTTTAGTGGCAATGAATACGAAGATGGACCAGCACTGCCAGTTAAGGCACATGGTGGCACGATAGTTGATTCAACCTCTACAGGCCTTCCAGTCTGTGTTCCGAAGAAGCTAGACTGTGCCAAGAGCTTCTATCTGGTAAATATACAGGTCTACAGCGACATATGGCAAGTAATGAACAATGCATTTCCAGCACGTTAGATCAAGCCTCGCCGGACAAGAAATTGAAGTAGATGTATGCGATTGATCTCAATCTCCCATACTTCAGTGCATTTACGCACGGGCCTTGGAGCGGCTCTTCGACTTGCGGACCTCAGGGCGAGTAATGTGGTGGGAGGGGATCCAATCAGCGTTGTAGGTAGTGGCGGAGGAAACGGCAGCGCCAGAAGTCTCTTCGGTAGCCTGCTCCTCAACGCGCTTGGTGCCCTGGGTGCGCTTCTCAGCGGGCTTTCCAGCCTTGCGCTTCTGGGGGAAGTAGGGGGCGATCCAGACGGAGTAGAAGAAGTAGCCAGTACCCGAGACACAGGCCAACAGGAAGAAGTAGAGGAACAGGCTGGAAACTATTGTCAGTTCAATCGATCTCACGCGACCAGAGTCCAAGGAGGGGTATTACATTTGTGGGTCGAAAATGCTGGTGTCGGCCTCAACGACGCTGACAGTGCCATTGTGGGCAGTGACAGGGAGGAAGTTGCCCTCGCTGTCAGAGATGATGGCAGAGAGAGTCATCAGGAGATCCTGGGGGTGCATCTCGGTGGCAAAGCTGTAGCTGATGGTCTCCTTCTGACCGGCCGGGATCTCGACACCGTAACGAACGGCAGTCAGATTGCGGACGACCTGCGACTGTTCATCAGGGCTCCGCAAGCTTCCACCGATGAAGTTCACGGTGATAGGGTTCGGCTCATCATTGGTGATGTCGATCAGCGCCTGGGTCGGGTGACCGTTGACAAGCTTGATGCCGAAGATCTCGGAAGCAGGGAAGGAGGCCTGGGCCGTGACAGCCAGGCTGACAGTCTCTGTTTCAGCGGCCTTCTCAGCATCCTATAACATCAAATCAAGAATGAGTCAGTCAATTGAGTCCGCGACAGTGGACCTAAGGACGTGAAAGGACATCAAGTACGTGACAAACATACAGCAGCGAAGCCGGTGCCAACAAAGGCCTGAAGCGAGAAGAGAGCCAAAGAGAGGAAACCGAGGCGAGTCATTGTGTCAACCGAAAGCGAAACGAGAGAGAGAGAGAGAGAAGGGAAGCAGAAGAGGAGAAGGAGAGTTGGCTCCACGTATGGCAAAACCGGGGAAGGCTGACTCAGCAAGATAGCATCCGCGTTTCTTAGATCGATTTTTTTTTGGAGTAAAAGGAAGACGCATGCTATAATTGGCATTTATAAATAAGAGGGAACTGAGATCTGTGACGGATTGACGTACGCGCTGTGTTGATCACCTGCAAAGCGCCTAACCTGACTTCACTTTCAGTCTTGAATCCGGCTTCACTCCCTTACCTTTCTCGTCTTATCTTCCAGGTTGTCGCATTCTCTGCTTCCACCTCAGATCTTCCAGATTTTATCACTTGCAAAATGGCAGCTCAGGCTTATTTAGAGCGCTATCGCCAGATAAGCGCCTTGGACCAGCAGAAGAATGATTTTATCGAGGTAGCAATGGCCTCTCCCTTGGTTCGGACACTGCTAACCTGTCTTTGCTCACAGGAACTTCTTCAACGAGTGACTACCTTAGAAAACTCCTTCCAACAGGAGAAACTTGATCATGAACGCGAAACCCGATTCAATCGCGATATTCAGTTGCACGAGATGGAGTTGATGGACCAAATATCGCGAATCAAGACTATTATGGTAAGCGCAGTGATGGAATGGCATTTGAACGTGCGCTGACACATTTGTTGTTATAGGATCGGGAACCATTCGTCGTTTTACTCTTAGATGGTGAAGGAATCATATTCAAAGACGAGTTCTTGCAGCTGGGAGAACAAGGTGGACGAAATGCGGCCAAGCAGCTCTGGACTTCTCTCCAGGGATATGTGATGGCGAACCTTTCAACAATTACCGAGCCGAAGATAATGACCAAGATTTACCTTGACGTGAAGGGGTTTACTGAGGTCTGCAGCCGAAGTGGAATTACCCTAGAGGCATCCGCAATTGGGGAGTTTATTCGGGGATTCAACGAAAGCACATCGTTCTTTGAGATCGTTGATGTTGGAACAGGCAAGAACAAAGCACATGATAAGATCAAAGGTATGTGATACAACTTGTGACGGTGGAACGAAATGCTGATTCGCTCTTGTCTTGTTTTGCAGAGGCATTCAAGCTTTACTTATACAACTGCCATTGCCACCAGCTATTCCTGGGTTGCGCCTCCACTGAAGAATATGCCAGGTTCCTGGAAGACGTTTTAGTGGATGGGGATTACACAGGCAGAGTGTCCCTCCTCGAAGGTCTTCCATTCGACAAGGAATTTGATGCCCTGAAGAGCACATATCGAACCACAAAGTTCCCGGATGTCTTCCGCACCTCTAAGATTGCACCGACATGGACAGCTCCCTGGAAGACTTCGCTTCCTTCAAGGAGTTTGCTCACGCCATCCCCAACCCAACAATTCCAGACTCCGGCTCCTTTGTCAAGAACATCCACGAGCACTAGTATGTCCGGTCTAGGCGTTCCTCTGACCAGCGCTGTGGTCAATAAGACCTCGCCCTCCGAGACTCCTGACTTCCAAGTTGTTCGACCCAAGGTATCTAGTTCAACATCCCCCAAGACCGTGGAAAGAAATAAGTACGGGCAGCGTGTCGATCGACTCGATTTCAAGAGTATCCCTCGGGATGATCTTAACCGCTTGAAGAAGCTCAAATTGTGCAACTATCACTTTTTGCTTGGTGAATGCCCTAATGAAGAGAACTGCTATCACGACCATGATCGCAAATTGACACGTCAAGAACTGCACATACTATCTGCCATCGCCCGTATGACTCCATGTCGGTTCGGGCTGGAATGTGACGATGTCGAGTGTATTTATGGCCACCGTTGTCCTCAGAGCGAGCCCGGTAAAAAGACCTGCTTCCGAGGCGAGTCCTGCCGTTTCGACCCTGTGGCGCACGGCATCGACACAAACATTGTGAAAGTGACTAAGGTCTAGGCTGATTTCCCTGGATCTTACGCACTCCAAAAAAAGTCCCTTAATATTTTCTACTGACTTCGGCGCGACCGGGCTTGGGGGGTTAACGGGGGAAATGGTTCATCGGAAAGCACCCATGGCATTAACAGGATTTCGTTCATTCGGGAGTTGTGGACGGTGCATGGGGGCAGGCTTGCTTTACATGAAGGATGCGACATTTTATCTCTTCTTTTCTTTTTTTTTCATGGTAATAACGGTGATTGGGAGGAACCCAACATTTATTATCTCACTTAAATTGTACTACTAGGAATTATAACGAGGAAATTTTTCTAAGGGTATCTTTGTTGATAATAATACAGTGAACTGAGATCGTCAAGTTCATGAGTGAATAGTTGTGCCAAATATGCCGAAGCGTCTCTCCCACCCAAAACAATCAGGCTGGCTGCAGTCCTCGCCATCGACTTCCATTGCATTGGGATCTTTATCATGCGTACACGGCACCCCGTATTCTTTGATGCAACACTTGAATGGCAACGAGCTGAGCGGTTCTGGGGTTGGGTTTCCAGAAGCTATGGCTTTCTTTCGTTCTTCGAGATTGCCCCAAAGATGGAAGAGCTTCTCTCGTATGAAATTCAATCTTCGTGGTTTCCTGCGGAGACTGAAGAAGTCAGTATGAAATTACCAAACGATATTGCAGATCTTTATCTCACTCTGTTGCTTCCATATCCAGGAGACAATCCCCATCGTGACAAGACACGAAAAGCTTCATTCGTTCCCGAGGCTGCTGCTTAGAAGGCTGTGGACCAACCCCTTCCACGAGAAGGCAGAACCGCCATTCCCAGCCAATTAATGTCTCTGTGTTTTCCGACAAAGCAGCTTGTTCGGTTTGTATGGCGAAATCCTCTAGATTGGGAGGGAAAAAATCGACCACGCGAAGTTCGGAGATGTAGTTGACATTTTGAAAAGGTAGTTGGTAGACAATGTTTCCTGGTGCATGGTTGGTGTGAGATTTTGCGAGCAGAATCTTTTCAACAGAGGAAACAGGGGCGACATAGGTGTTTATTTTAACTGTCAGTTGTTCATTAGCCAAAGTACCCTTTCGCGCCAAGTCAACTTACTGTTTTGATTTAACTTAGTTCCCGTGGCCGCTGGTAAAATGAGCTGTCCTGCTTCCTTTTTGGCCTCTTTTTTCTGCTCTTGGGCTTTCTTATTCCGTTTTTTGAGATTTTTGGTATCTGCCTTAGGTTCGCCATGGATTTTCCAGTACTCCGCCCGACGCTTCAACAACGCCTGTTCGCGCTCGTCATGACCACCCTTCAGGACTTTGATATGGATCTTTTCTGGGAATCTCCTGTCTTCATGAACAGCAGCCTCCAAGCTACGACCTTCTTTGATCCGTACATAGGTCAAGAGAACAAGATCACCTGGATTGACATGTTGCCGAGCATATGTGGCATGGGGCTCCCACAAAGTCACTTGGATTGTAAATTGACCAAAGGGACCGGTCCAGTCGTTTCGTCTCCGTGTCAAGAATTTGTATGGATCTCCTTCAGGGCCTGGCTCGTCATCTTCTTCCCCAGGCTTTTTGTAATAAACAAGTTGGGAATTTTCAGTGTAATCGGTCATTAGTAGCAGGCTGTGTTCGCTGTTAGGCGTATCCAGCGTGATAGCTTGACCAAGAAGTTGGGTGATTGTCCCCAGCTGGATATCTTTAATGAGTGAAAAGGGCAATCCTGATTTCGAGGCTGAGGTAGAAGCCTTAATAATCTGGGAAGGGCCTTGAGAGACGGGCACTCTATTTGAAGTGAATGGTTGCACAATATGCCCCTCGGCTGTCACTCGATCCATGAGTGTTTGTGCCTGATCCTTTTCCCATAAACTGGGCTCAAAAGGAACCGGACCACTGGTGATGGAAAGACTAGAGCCTGGACCTGACTCTGGTCGAAACACTATCCATGAAATACTCTCTTGTTGAGAGACAACTCCTGTCGGCTTGTTTTGGTAGATGCTCACCTGAAAGCGGCATTAGCTTTATAGTCTTGATGTCATTCGGTCTGACATACCCTGATGCTTCGTAGCAGGACCAGGTCATTGACCTGAATACCAGGAAGGTGACTTTCATCGTCGTTGAAATATTTGACTTTCAGGCCGCCTTGCCAGTGTGGTGCATCAAAGTCGGAGTCTTTTATAGTGAATGTGACGCACGCAGAGGAGCCTTTGGTCCGAAAGAGTGGCAGAGTATCAACCACCACACCAAGCACACTGAAAATTCCCTTGGAAGCACACGCAGTGGAAATTGAGACCAAATCTCCTGGCGCCATAGCTGTTGAAGGTTGTAGGTTCACCGGGGGGGGGGGGGCGTCCTGCAAGCTCCCGATGCCTAGATATCACGAGATAGCAACTCAGAAAACACCGGAAACTGGACAATGCCCATCCATAGTTCTACAGAAGTAAAGCGAAAGGAAAACTCCCCAGTCACAAATAACTTGAAGTTGTGCACGTTGCCACGAAGAGTAAATAAAATGGGTGATCACATGATCCCCCCTCCTTCCACACAAGACGTTCCTCTTTCTTCCTCTCTTCTTCTCCCCCACACCTTTCTCTTCCATTTTTCCATCCACAGCGCGCCCATTCTACATCATTTAACTTCTTCCTGATTTACGTGGCGCGCTTCATTCAGCTCTTCTCACATTCACCATGGCGGAACGTTATATCCCCGAACACCGCCGGACGCAGTTCAAGGCTAAAGGCCAGTTCAAGCCCGATGAGCTCCGCCGCCGCCGCGAGGAGCAGCAGGTCGAGATTCGGAAGCAGAAGCGTGAGGATAATCTGGCCAAGAGACGTGGTATCCAGACACGGGATGGTGGCATCAGTGTTGGTGGCGTGAACGCCGCCACCGAGAGCGACGATGAAGCTACCGCTATCGAGAGTGAGGTAGGTTTTGAATTTTCCCCTGCAGCTCTTGAGCTTTGATTTCTTTTATCTACCGGAAGCTGGCCTCTGTGCGACCGTGGTGTCATTGCCACCCCCTGGGCCTTCTTGATTCCTTTGTTTTTATGATGCGATCATCAACAAGGATTTTTTTTCACCGCCCTGTTGCCATGGCCCACGAAGCCCCTCCAAACTCGGGTCTTCTAGCCCACGCCCCACTGTAAAAATCCCATTGTTTGGATTACAAAGCTAACGCGATGAATTCTTTAGCTCAACGTCGAGCTTCCTTTGATGGTCAAGGGTGTCTTCTCCGACCAGGTTGAAGAACAAATCCAGGCCACCACTAAGTTCCGCAAATTGCTTTCCAAGGAGCGCAACCCTCCTATCGAGCGGGTCATTGAGACTGGTGTCGTTGCCCGTTTCGTCGAGTTCCTTCGCTCGCCCCACACTCTGGTTCAGTTTGAGTCTGCCTGGGCTCTGACCAACATTGCCTCTGGTTCCGCTCAGCAAACCCAGGTCGTCATCGAGGCTGGTGCCGTCCCCATCTTTGTCGAGTTGCTCAGCAGCCCCGAGCCCGATGTCCGCGAGCAGGCCGTCTGGGCCCTCGGTAACATTGCCGGTGACAGCCCTCACTGCCGCGACTTTGTTCTCGGTGCCGGTGCTCTCCGTCCTCTCCTGAACCTCATCAACGATGGCCGCAAGCTGAGCATGCTCCGCAATGCTACCTGGACCCTTAGCAACTTCTGTCGTGGCAAGACCCCCCAGCCCGACTGGAACACCATCGCTCCTGCTCTCCCCGTTCTCTCCAAGCTCATCTACATGCTTGATGATGAGGTCCTGATTGACGCCTGCTGGGCTATCTCTTACCTTTCCGATGGCGCCAATGACAAGATCCAGGCCGTTATTGAGGCCGGTATCCCCCGCCGCCTGGTGGAGCTCCTCATGCACGCTTCCACATCTGTTCAGACTCCCGCTCTCCGCTCTGTGGGCAACATCGTCACCGGTGATGATGTCCAGACTCAGGTCATTATCAACTGTGGCTCTCTCCCCGCCTTGCTCTCTCTCCTGAGCTCCACCAAGGATGGCATCCGCAAGGAGGCCTGCTGGACCATCTCCAACGTTACCGCTGGTAACTCCAGCCAGATCCAGGCTGTCATTGACGCTGGAATTATCGCCCCTCTGATCAACCTCCTCGCCAATGGTGACTTCAAGACCCGCAAGGAGGCTTGCTGGGCTATCTCCAACGCTACCTCCGGTGGTCTCCAGAAGCCCGAACAGATTCGCTACCTTGTCTCTCAAGGCTGCATCAAGCCTCTGTGCGACCTCCTCGCCTGTCCCGATAACAAGATCATCCAGGTCGCTCTTGATGGTCTTGAGAACATCCTGAAGGTCGGCGACATGGACAAGGAGGCTGGCCAGACCGGTGAGGCTCGTGTCAACCGCTACGCTCTCTTCATTGAGGAGGCCGGTGGCATGGAGAAGATCCACGACTGCCAAAACAACGCCAATGAGGAGATCTACATGAAGGCTTACAACATCATTGAGAAGTACTTCTCTGACGAGGATGAGACCGGTGGTGACATTGAGGAGCTTGCTCCCCAACAGACCCAGACCGGTTTCTCCCTCGGCACTGGCCAGCAGCAGCCCGGTGGATTCAACTTCTCCAACGGTGGCGACACCATGGACATGTAAAGACCTCAATTATATGTCCATAAGGTACTCGTTACTTGTCCCCCTTTCACAAAATCGTCGAATTTGCACCCAGCACAGCCTCGCTTGGGTGGGGTAAAATTGGCTATCGAGAGTCCAATTTGCTTGCCAAAAGCCATTTCGTTGTCTTCGCACTTTAGGTGCTTCTCGGTCTGACCGTGAGTCTGCATAGTACCTGGAGCTCTCTTTCGCGCTCTTGTTACGATTTTCATCTTCCCCTCCCCTTTTCACTTTTTTTCACTTTTTTTTTGATTTCACGATAAACAAGATTCACCGTCATGTATCCCCTCCCCTTCCTTCCCCAACCCCCCTCTTTAGCATCCTCATACACAGGCGTATTTGTTTGCAGGATCGGTTTTCTCTCCAGTTATGTTAATGTACCTCAATGCCCTGATGTTCCCTAGCGAGGGTTGGTCTCTTAAACGGAAACCTCCCCTAGCTCGATGACAACAGGGGCTTGTATGCAGACGATACCGCTATTGTGTCGTCTGTATTCTGGCTAAGACACGCCCCTGAAAATGTTTGTCGATTGTGCTTTTCTCATGGTCACCTTGAAGTTTTCCAAGAAAAATGCCAATTTATTGATCAATCTATTCCATCTATCTTGTAGTTTATCGTAAGAGGTATATTCTTGGATCCTTGCATGTTTTCCTCCAACCCTTATCTATCTTACTCGGGCTTTCTAGTGTTGGAATGATTCATGACAGCTGTGTAGCGTGATTGTATAGTAGTGCGCGTTCGGATCCCAGATGTGCAGTGATATATGTAGCAAGATGAACAGTCAAAGGATATGCAGCGAAAACCCAGGGGAATAGATTCAACTCATATCAACGCGAAGTAAACAAGCGAAAGAAGAATATAACATACAGAATGAGAATGCCGATGTCCACGCAAACATCAGCAAAAGCAAAGGGTAAAAGAGATACACAATCAGATCAGATGAACTCAAGCCACGTAGATGACATGAAAAGAGAAATCTGAGATAGAAAAGAAAGAAAAGATTATTTTTTTCCAGAACACACGTTAAGCCATCAGTTGCAGCAAAAGATATCCCATCAAATTCAATCACCCATCACCTCATCTTCATCTTCGGGCACAGAATTTAATTCCTCATCCTCATTGCCATCCTCATTCTCACGATCAATATCTTCCTCAACAAGGCCGCGTGCCCGCAAATCCTCATCCTCATCTTCCTCCACAGTTTCAAGATGCTCCTCTTCCTCATCATTGACATGTTCCGCAGACTGACCCTCCGTGGCAGGAGTAGGAGGAGCGGCACCAGCAGACTTAGCAGGCTGCTTCCCCTTTCCCTTGGAGGGAGCAGCTCTAGGTTTTTTGTCTTCAAGATAAGACAAGACCTCGCGATAATTCTGACCAAGAAGGGTCTTGTTCCGAAGGAGACGTTTCTTCAACGCACCGCGCTTTGAGCCAGATGCATCAATGACACGGGCGATGATCGCCAGCACGAGTTTGCCTGTGATCTCGCAGAGACGCTGCTCAGCGAGGATGCTTGAGCGGAGGCGTTCGTTGCGGACGGTTTCATCCTCATCGATAGCCTTGTTTTCGGTTTCGTCTTCATCTTCATCTTCGTCTTCTGAGGCTGGATCATCGTCGGCTGCGGGGTCCAGGTCCAGACGTGATTTTTTGGCCCAGGTTCTTTCGGCGCTGTTGTGAATCTTGGAGAGGAGGGCTTGGGTTTCTGGGCTTATTTCGTGGATTAGACTTTGCGTTTGGAAGACTGTGTCTTCGTCATTTGCTTTGCCTGTTCCTAGGTTGCGGAGGGTGCTGAAGAGGGTTTGGAGATCGAGGTAGGTTGTGACGGCTGTAACGCGGAGGTTGTCGAAGCCCGCGCGGGCGTTCATGATGCTGACTAGGGTGTCGGCGAAGGTTTCGCGGCTTTTTGTTAGGGCTTCAAAGTAAGATGTTGTGAATGTGGCTTTTCCTTCGTTGAGGGCTGTGGACAGTGCCTGCACCTTCCACATGAAATAGAATAGCAATATGCGGATGCTGCTTGTCACTAGCTCGATCTCTGTCATGGCGATGTCCTCATCGTCATCTTCCATGCGGAGGCCACGTTCGGCGAGGCGGATGAAAATGTTGAAAGGGGCTTCAGGGTGGTCCTTCTTGGACCTTGAGCTGGATTTGGGCACAGTTTCGAGAATCGCGGCGCAGTCTGTGATACCGGCCAGATTGGAGATGCGAGTAACAGTGTTGGTCAGGTCGGTTAGAGTAGGATCGGATATCGAGCCACCTTCTTGAACTTCCTTCTTTCGCGATAGAGCACCAAGGGTCTCGATCAGTTCATCCCACAACTCCTGGACCTTGCTCTCCAGTGCTTCTTTCATCTCGTCAGAGCTCTTTGCGCGCAAGAATGCAATACTAGCCTCAGCTAGAACATCTTGATCCGAGTGAGTCAAGAATTGCTTGTTGATATCATTGAGCAGAGACGTATAGGCGATGGCATCCTTCTGAAGATCCTGGATTGTATCCAGATCCACAAGGTGCTCCAGACGCAGGACAGAAGAGGCAGATTCGGGTGCTGACCCAAACTTGTTAAGCAGGCGTGGGATGATCTGAGCGAGATTGTGGGAGATCTCTTCTTGAAGCTCGGGGATCTTGTGTGTCAAAGCCTTGACCTTGCGGCCACGCTTGTCGATGTCAGATTTAGCAACATTGAGAACCTTGAGCTTGACTGCCGCACAGAGAACCTCAAGAAGAATAGCTTCCTGTCCCTCTTCCAGTTTGTATAAATTCTTCACAACACCTGCAGTATCATCTTCGGACGGTTCGTCTGTAATTTGAGAGTGATCGTACAGAAGATAGCCAGCTAGCGAGGGCCATTGAGCAAGCTCTTCCATATGAGCGTAGACAGCCTCAGTGGCCAGAGCAAAGCGTGACTCCACGGAAACTCCTAACAGCCTGTCACGCGAGGATTGCTCGGGTTGCTGTTCAGCTTGCTGCGCGTCATAAGACTGGAACAAGTCGACAAGGCATTTGAACTTGATCCAAGAACGCTTAGGCGACTCGTAGTCGTCCTCGTCATCATCAGCTAGCAGTTCATTAAGCTCCTCTCCAACCTCCTCGGTGATTGACTCGAATGCATCTTCGACATTGGAGACAAAGAAGCGGCCTGCTATCTTTCGGATACGGGGTTCCAGGTCGAAAACCAGTCGACCGATGGCATCGATGTCATTTGGCTCAAGGAGTCCTCCTTCGCGGAGGTGAATGAGCAGCTCTACGGCAGCCGCACGCACAGAAGGATCAGCGTCTCGAGTGGCAACCTCCACGATACGCTGACGGAAGCGTTCAGTGAATGAATGCAGACCAGCAATGTTGTCTCTGTTCCCGTATAAAACGATAAGCTCAGACAGGACAACAAGTCGGGTCTGTGGCTCAATGTCGGCAAGCGTCCATCCCAGATATCGCAGATATTGACCTTCAAAGAAAACATCCCGGTATGTGCGAATCCATCCGCCTAGAGCTGTCAGACATTCGGCTCGGATCTGGCCATCAATGTCTCGGTAACGGTGTACAAAGATTGTATCAAACCAGTCTTGTAGGAAATCATCGAGTCGCTCAATTTTCTCTTCACCTTCTGTGACGGCTGTTCGGATCGCCTCCACGCGACCTTTGTTGACATTCTTCTTCTTCTTTTCACTCTCAAGCTGTTTGCGGGAGGTTGTCACACTGGTTGTGACTTCGCGGGCAATATCACACAAGGCGTGCATGATTCCGAGTGACATGATTGTAGCTGTATGTCTGAAGGGTCGGCACCGGGAGGTCGACATAGTAGAGAGCCATATTTGGACGTTTTCGAGCACAGCATCATCGGTGTACAGGATCGAAGAGGCATGGAAGGTTTTGATCAAAGCAATCACGAATTCCTCGAGAAGAGGCTGGAAAGCACGGAACTTTTTCGACTTGGAGATCAGAGGGTATTCGGTAATACCCTCTGCTTGGTAAAGGGCCTGGAGATCTTTAATTCGGTCAACGGCATTATCGACATCCGCAACTTCATCAATGGAGATTTCCAGGTCAGTTCCGGCGCATCGGAGTATAAAGTTAACCAGGTCTCGCATAGCCTGGCTATTATTGCGTTGGTATTGTGACAGCCACTGCGCGGCGACTGTGTCGGGGTTACTGCTCTTTCCAAAAACCTCCGCTAACAAAATGTAAGCCGTAAGTCAACTGTATTTATAGAAACGACATACCATATAGCCCACGTTCACCCGCCGCAAGACTAGGTCGAACTCTGGGTTTCCGGGAACGAGCGGTTGGAAGTCGGCCATTGGCAGCAGGACGAAAAGCGAGTCTACCTAATCCATTGCTGGCGACTTTGGGCTTTTTTGACGCATGCGACTTGGACTTTGGCTTCGACTTTGATGATTTCTGAGTACCAGTGCGACGTCCAACACGTCGTTTCTCTCCGAATTCCTCCTCGTCGGCTTCATCGTCACCAGCATCGCTCTCAGACTCGGACGCGTCGTCTTCTTCGCCCTCCTCATTGTCGTCGCGGGCTTCACCTCGTTTACGTTTCCCTCCGGCGGTTTCTTCGGAGTGTTGGCTTTGCGAAAACACCTCCGGTCGTCGCGTCATCCGACCAGATTTGCGTCGGTCTTCGGCGGGGGTCGACCGGACGGGGCTCGTTAAAGGTGAATTGTCGATATCCATGATGGTGGCTTAATGTCAGATGTGAATGTGCAATATTGAAGACGGCGCGTTGATCAATCGCATCTATTGGAGGCGGTGGATCTGGTAGTGAGTGTAATGGGACGCGCTCCGTACAACGCGCGGTTGGTACCGAGCAAACGAAACGAATGGACGTGACAAGTCAGGAGTGACTTGTTGTGTAATTGCGACAAGCACTAGCCAAGCCTGAACGAAGTTCAAACGAAGGACTCAGAAATGTCTAGAGACAGAGTGGGGGAATATCGAAAGGAGACGCGACTCGTGCCTTGACGCCTGATTACCTGCCTGATTACCTGCCTGATTTATGGGGCAACTTTATGCCACTGCTGCCTGATATTAATGCCTTCTTTATTAGGTGTCTATGTAATCCCACCCGATGTTACTCCGTATTTCCGTGAGAGTCCGACTTGCGTGCTTCATGCTTCATGCTTCATGCTTCATGCATGTACACTATACTACAGTATGTACCACCCTTGGAAGCCTTGGAAGACGTGCTGTGACTATCATTACCCAGCACGTCTTCACCGCGCTAATCGTCGTTTGATTCAGTTGAGGATCTTCTTTTCTTCAAGCCAGAACTATCTCGATTCCAAGGTTTCTAACAATAAACATCTAGTAACTTATACTGTACAGTGTACAGTAGATATTCTCATCTCTTCTTCCGATTCAGCATGCACACTGTAGGAGCCTCAGGGTCTTCAATCAGATCATGAGCCGTCAATGCAGGCCTCGGACCTCATGGGGAAATAGTGTACCGGGAAAGAGAAAGCCCATGCGCTTTGACGGGAATGTTACGTGTACTGAAGCTGCAAAATTTGCGTCACCGTACATGATCTGTGAATAACTTACGGTATTCAGCAGCCTGAAATATGAGGCCGGGATTGCATCATTTACGTTTGTGGCTGAGACGACAGTCATGTGCTGTCTTTTCTTTTTGCTATTTGCAGGTCCCATGACGGTCCCATGACTCGGTACTGACTGCCCCTTTCTTCACTGTGGTGTTACCCCCTTGTCTCCTGTCCCCTGCAATGTATCTCCGATGGTCCCTAGCCTAGAACTATTCTTCCATGCAGATCAAATGACATAGAACATAACGCCAAGAAGTAGTCCGTCGGTCCTAGTGGAAATGCGGAGATGCTCTGTGTCATAGAAACACTTATAGCCTTTCATTCAGACTTGTGGTGATGCGAGTGCCAATGATCTTCCAGTCTATCCACTTGAAACTTCAGTATTGGGCCAAGAAAAGCTGACTTGGTCATTTGCAAAGCCGCCCCCCGCTCCAGGCCAAGCGGTGACTAAGAGGCTGTGGCAGGGCAGTATCTTCCAGCGATTCCGGGGTAAATCTATTTTTCCCCCTCCAGACATTCTTATAACACTCCACTTCCTCTTCTCCCAATATCAATTGCACATCCACAGACATCCATACATACAGCGGCCCTCTATGCCTGGCCGTGTAGCTCAATCATCCACAATGCGACAACCAGCAGCACCGATTCCCTCGCCCTTCCAATCCTCCATTGCGAAGCCAGGCCAAGGCAAAGTCGTTCTCTCGCTCCTCCCACCAGCAAACCCAACCTTTACAACCCTCACCTATAAATATCCATTGAAGCTCGTCCCCCGAACAGGCGCCTTCGTTCCCAGCCCCGAATCTTCCGCCCTCTCCGACTCATGCCCCTCACATCCGGTACATCTCTACCTTCTCACCTATGGAGGCGGCCTGCTACCGGGCGATCACATCGAAGTATCCATCACGCTAGAACCCAAGACCCGAATGGTCGTCACAACCCCGCAGGGGAGCACGAAAATCTTCAAAACAGACACAAACAGTAGCGCAAATAGCCCCAATGTCATCAAGGGTCACCGCAAGCAAATGCCCGCAAACCCGAGTATCTCTGATATGAGCCAGCAATCCCTCGATGTGAACATTGGCCGTCAAGCAGCCCTCTGCTACCTGCCCGACCCCTCAGTCCCCTTCCAAAACAGCCGCTATGCCCAAATCCAGACATTCACGGTCGACGCCACGGCAAAGGGCAACCAGAGGAGTAGTCTCTGTGTCCTCGACTGGGTAACGCAAGGCCGGACATCCCGCGGCGAAAACTGGAACTTCCGCTTCTGGCGCGGCCGCAACGAAGTCTGGGCCGCAGACGAGAAAACAGGCAAGAGCAGGCTCTTACTCCGGGACTCGGTTATTCTCGACGACGAATCCGAGGATACAAGTGATGAGGACGAGTCCGAAGATGAAGTCGAGCACACGAATGTCAATATCCACAACGGCATTGACAATCATTCCAACTCCACTTCCAATCCCACCGCCACTCGCCCTCAACAATACCAAAGTGGACTCAAAGCCATGAATATCATCGCCGAACGGACTCGGCCTCATGGGGTTGTTGGCACGTTGATCCTCTCCGGTCCGGTCTTTGAGGCGCTGGGCTCGTATCTCATGCACGAATTCCAGACGCAGCCGCGCATTGGTAGTCGCAATTGGTCTGATCATTCCTCTGCTGTGCCTGAACCGTCGGTGAGTCATCATGGCGATGTGACGTGGACGGCAGCGCGGGTGCGGGCTGGATTCGTGCTTGTGAAGTTCGGTGCCAAGGACTTTGAGACAGCTAAGCATTGGCTTGGTGGGCTGATTCGGGAGGAAGGAAGTGTTGTTCGTGAATTCGGCGAGGAAGCGCTGTTTTGTCTGTGATTGTTTCTTGCGTTTGGTTGTCCTTTCTTGATGTGTTAGGTTCTCTCGGCTGGTCGAGGAACTCAACACACACGCAAACGATATAACGACCTTGTTTAGTACTTTGTTCCCTTCTATGTTCATTCTGAGGTCGTCCAAGTCGATTCTCATTCTGCATGCACATGTGATTATAGTCTCATTTACTGGAAGCATTTTGGCGTCGTTACCGGCTTGTCGGCTATCATGGCAGTGGGCATTTACACTTGCCCTCCCCTTGATTTGAGGATTGACTTGCATTATTCTCTGCAGAGCATTCGGTGCCGCAGAAACCAAAAATCTGATTACAGCGATAATTTTTTTCTTTTTCAATTGATTTCATTTGACATCACGTCTCGAAGTATATTTGCCCATCAATCCGCGTCTTGTTCATTAAGGAATTTGTAATAATAAATATTGATTGCAAGGTATATAGCAATGAAAAGCATATCTATGAACCAGCACAACAAAACAGTAAAAGGTATCATAGACCAGCAGAAAGAAAGGAAAAACGCCCCATTCATAAGAAATCATTAACCATAAGAATATATATCCAAATATCGAGATCAAGATCAAGGCCACCAGTCAAAAATCCGGATATTCCACCCCCCCTTGGTAGCACCAACAAGATCATCGACATTGAGAACATCGACGCCCTCGAGCGCCAGTATTCTCCAAATATGATTTCTCAAACTCTGCGGCCAACTCGGCAACGCCCAATACCGAACCTTCAACCCATGCTTATGCGCAATCCTTACCTGGTGCCGTATCAGCTCCATTTGCTTCTGGGTGAAGTGAAATGGCCAGGGGAAGCCGATTGCAGCGCGGAAGGAGACGGAGGCGTAGAAGCTATTTGTAGCGTTGAAGGTGTTTGCTGTTATTTTGCTCGGCATACCGCTTTGGCCTTGGCCGTGGTCGTTGGATTGCTTTAGGTCTGGCTCAGAAGCAGACTCAGATTCGGATTCAGACTCGACTTCTGGCTCTGCTCCTGGTGTTGAGTCGTCCTCGGGGAAATCTACGAGTTTGTCGAGTGGTGCATCGAAGAAAATATCCCTATACGAGGAATCCGCATCGATCAGGTTGAATGGTGCATTCCCCGTTCCGACAATAGTGATTGGGCCCTGGATGATCTCCTCGCCATTGAAGTGCGTGAGATACCCACGTTCACGCAGTGGAGCAAGCTGTTCCACCACGGCATGGTACGTCGCCGGCCCGGCAGTCTTGAAATCGATCAGGAAGATGAGCGATTGATCGGGATCTGTGTCGAAGATGCCGTGCGCAGGTGTATCGATTGACGGATGGAATTCCGTTATAGGGTTTTGGCGCTCGAGGATTGAGATAAGTGGATTGACGTACATGAACTGTAACGTGCGTTCACGCGTCAGGCTCGAAGTCGTGTGTCCGACGTAGAGCTCGTCGTCGAAGAGCCAGACGTCCGCTTCGACGCCGATGCAGCCTGCTTGCAGGGCTGAGTAGAGGGGTACACGGCGCCAGTAGTCGTTGTGGGAATGGCAGGCTACTGGGGTGATATCGCGGGAGATATCTGTTGGCCAGTGGGTTGGGAATGGGATTGGCGGGTTGTCCGCGTTTTGCTTTGGGATTGGGTCGTTTTTGGGTAGCCAGTTGTTGACTGCGCGGTCGTACTCGTCTGGGAAGAAGGCGAGGACGATGCCGCAGGCTATGGAGATAAATTGGATTATGCCTCTGTTGTTCGGGTGCGGTCAGTCGGTTGTTCTGTCTGGGCTGGGCTTGTCGATGGACTGCTTCGGTACAAATCGCAGTCAGCGTGACTTACAGCATGATGAGAATCACCACTACGGTGCGCACTAGTCCTTTCAGGAATCTCGAGCGACAAGATCGCTTCTTGGGAGCTGGCTGTTCTGCGAGCTGGGGATCTTCGTTGGATGATGTCCAGGATGAGCGGGTCAATACTCGATTCCATGAATGAGCTGGGCCCTCGAGAACAGGCTGGACGTTTGCATTGTGTTTGTTTGTATCTTCTTCTGGGTTGACTGAGTCTGTGTAGGGTTCGAAATGAGCGCCCAGAGAGGTGGAGCTATTTTGCGGGGGAGGCTGGAAGCTCATAGTGGGAGTGTGGAAGGAAACAAATAGACCATAACAGACAAGACGAGGAACATTGAGGTTATAACCTGACCAGTTCAACGACCTCGCATAAAGTCCCTCAGAGTGAAAAAGAGAAAGCAACCAAGATCTCGCAGGGCTGAGAGCATGTTGCGGAGGCGCCGGAAGTGATTGGCCCCAAACTGCCGATCTTATCTAAGGCACGAAGTAGGGTTATGCACACATGTGATCATACTGGACTGGTACTGGACGGGGATACCCAAGGATAGACAGAGTTGAAAGAGTTGAAAGAGAAAAACAGACTTCATATTTCCTGATATATCTATATACAAATACACACAATGCAATGCTCCCAAACACCCACGGTGTACATTTTTAGGTCTACTCCTGCAAAGACTTCACGTAAGTCACTGCACGAGCCTTGACCTCCTCAACCATCTTCTCGTCACCATTGTCAGCAGCTAGCTTCTCCTCAAAGGCAAGCCACTTCTTGAAGAGGAAGCGGGCCTGCTTGGGCTTGAGCTTCTTGCTAGCGTCGATGCTCACGCCCTTCTTACTGCTCTGCAAGCCAAGGACTCGCTCGAACAGACGGCGCACCTGCTCTGCATCGCCGACCTTGATTTCAAGATCCAACAGCACGTTCCACAAGTCAATACGCTTGGGGAACGAGGACAGGAGGCCTTCAAAGACTGTTCGGCCGCGCTCCACGTCGCCGTTCTCCGAGCGGAATTCGAGCTGACCGAACTTGGAGGTAGTCTCGATGTGCGTGTGAGCGGGCAGAGACTGCAGGGCACGGGGAAGGAGAGCACGGGCACGGTCGGGTGAGTTCATCGTGTCGAAGAGGAAGCTGGCGTAGTTGTAGAAGAACTTGGGGGACTGCGAGGAGATTTTCTTCTTGAGAGCCTCGTAGAAGAGGTCACTTGCTTTCTGAGAGGTAGTTAGTATACGGGTTGATATTAATACCGAGGAAGAAACACATACCTGGTTCTTTCCGGATTGAATGTAGATGCTGATCATGCGCTCGTAGATCTCCTGGGGATCGTTGTACTGGCAAGCACGCTTGAACACCTCCTCGAGACTGTCATCATCACCGTAGGTGTTCTCCAAGTTGAGCTGTGCAACCCAGATGTTGAGCTTCTCGGCATCCTGGCCCATGGTGATGGTGCGCAGGGCACGCTCAGCAACGGCGCGAGCCTTTTCAACCTCACCCAGCTCCAGCTGGAAGGCCATGTACTGCAGCCACAAGAGCGAAGAGTCGGGCTCACCAAGGAGAAGACGCTCGAAGTCAGCGACTGACTGCGGGCCGTTGGCATCCAGGTCGCCGGTACGGTCAACCTGGATCTCGGCCTTGCGGTTCTTCTTCTTCTTTTTGGAGTCCTCATTATCGCTATCCTCGCGATCGGCAGCATTATCCTTGGCGACATTGCCGCTCCAGTCGAAGCCGCCGGCGCCGAGACCGCCAGTCTTGGAGGGCTTGGCGTCCTGCATCGGTACATCCTCATCGTCAGATTCTTCCTCTTCCTCCTCGCTGTCTTCCTCAACGTCAACGCCACCCATGGACTCGTCATCATCTTCGTCCTCTGCCTCGCTGTCATCCTCACCCAGCTCGACACCACCGAGACCATCAATGCTCATTTCGTCTTCATCCTCGCTGTCATCCTCCTCGTTTTGGAAGTGGGAAGCCTTCAGCGAGAAAGAAATCTTCTTGGCGGCGAGATCAATCTTAATGACCTTGGCCTTGACAGCATCACCCTCATCGTACAAGGTGCGAGCATCTTCAACACGCTTTTCAGCCATCTCACTGCGGTGGCAGAGACCACTGATGTTGGCAGAGCCGTCAATGACGATGAAGGCACCGAACTCCTCAACTTTGCGGACCTTACCAGTGACAATCTGGCCAGTCTTGAGATCCTTGAGGGTGATGGGAGCCTTGAAGTTGGGGTCTAGAACCGACTCCTTCAAACTCATTTGTAGCTTGCCCTGCTCGGCATCGACAAAGGTTACCTTACCCTTAACCAGCTGGTCGGGCTGGAAGGAGTCCTTCCATTCCTTCAGGTAAGAGTCAGAGAGGTCAGAGACGCGCACGTAGGCAGTGACATCGTTGCTGACAGCGACAAACAAACCGGAGTCAGTAACACGCTTGACAAAGCCACGGATGACATCGTTGACCTTCACGTCCTTAAGGGAAGAGATCTCGCGGTCCTGAACGGGCAGCGAGGAGCTGAGAACCTTGGAAGGACGCAGTGACAGAGAAATCTTCTTGGTGGCCTTGTCAACGGCAATGACACAGGCACGAAGGACCTCGTTCTTGTTGTGTACGGTAGGGTTGGCCTTGGAGTAGTCATCGGCGAGATCAACCAAGTTGACCGCACCGACAAGGGCCTCACCGAGCTGCATAATCACCTGTCTCTCGGTGACCTTGGTGACACGACCGGGAAGGATCATACCAACGGAAATATCGCCGAAGGCGAGCTTGTCATAGCCCTGCTTGGCAGTGAGGTCAAGGTGGCCCTTGTCAGCGTTGACGGCAGTCACCTGAACCTTGAGGGCAGAACCAATGGGGAAGTTCTTCTCAACATCAGTCAACAGAGACAGGTCGTCAGATGCATCCATGAAGCGCAGACGACCACGGACGTTGGGGGACAGGTTGACCCAGAGGCAGTCATCGGCAACGTTGTTGACGAAGCCCATCCAGGAAGATCCAACCGGAACCTGCTCCATGTTCAGAGGGGCAGGGTTGGAAGCCTTCAAGTAGCTTGGCTTAAGAGAGAGCTCAAACACAGGGTACTTGCCAGAGCGGTGGCTGATGGGAAGGAACTTGTGGTTGCGAGCATCGTGGACACCAAGGATGCGGGCAGACAGGGTCTGCTTGGCTTTGAAAAATCTCAAGGGCTGCTTGCGATCCTTGATGTCTTTCAGGTCATCGAAGATCTCGGAGACATCGATTCGACCCTGGAGATTATCCGCCAGCTGGACGTTGACCTGGGTGGCCTTGACGGAGACAACCTTGCATTCCACGATTCTGCCGAAGGTGAAGTCGGACATGGTCTTGATGTTGCTATCGATAGGGTTGGCAACGGTGTCATCAGTCTGTTGCTTGGGGGCCTTCTTGGAAACAACAGGGGTAGTGTCCACAGGCTTCATGCTCAAAATGAAGCGCTTGTAGTCCATGTCCACGGATTGAACATTAAGAGTAAGAGTCTGTGCCTTGGACAGGCCGTAACGAGATTGCTCGAGACTGGCGTCATCGATAAGACGTCTGGGGAGCAAGCCAGTAAGACCACCGAGGAACTCAACAAAGACACCATCGGGAGTGATGTTGCGGACGAAACCGGTGACGCTGGAACCCTCTTGCACCTGCTCGAAGCTGCTGGGCATGGACTTGGTCTTGGCGGCCTTCTTCATGCTGCCTCGGCTGGAAACCTTGATCAGGCGGTGAGCGCGCTGAATATCAAGAACCAAAAGGTCGTTCAGCTTCTGGCCAACACGGAGCTTGGACATCATCGAAGCTTGCTTGGATGGGGGTCCGTCAATGATGTGCTGGGAGTCGATGCGAGCAATGAGGCCAGACTCATCGAGCTTGAGGAGAACATCCTCGTTGGACTTCTCGAAGACAATTCCGCTAACAAGATGACCGGGCTGGAGGGTCTCAAAGGCCTTGCGGTAGTGCTCAGTGAATGTAGAGGGGTCCTTGCAAGAGACGGTAAGTCTGCCAAGGGCAGCATCCACGCTCAAGGCGTGAACATTGAGAACTTGTCCTAGTCTGAAATGCTGGGCAGGGTCCTTGATGTAGGCCTCACTCATCTCAGAAACAGGAAGGAACGCACGGACGTCACCGTAGAACTGGATGACAGCACCGTGGGTCTGAAGGCTGACAATGGTACCAGGGGACTGGGAGCCAGGGGTGATGTCCTTGTAGTCCTTCCAGATGGCAGATTCGCTGTTGAGCAAACTCTTCTTCAAGGTCAAGCGGATCTGGCGCTTCTCAACGTTGACGGAGAGGATCCTCAATGAGAGCTTCTGGCCCTCGCGGAACTTCTTCTCAGGGAACTGAAGCTGGGTATCGGCGAAGTGCATGGAAGGGACAAGACCAGTGATTCCATCGGCCAGGTTGATGATCAATCCATCCATGCCATTGGCACCGATCAAGAGCTTCTCGACCTTTCCTTTGACGATGGCACCAACGGTGACATCCTCGACACGGAGGAAGGGCTGCTCAAGAACAGATTTCTCGAATGAGAGCAAGTATAGGTTATCGACGGAATTATAACCGACAACCCTGGCCTCGTGGACAGCCTCGAGCTTGAAGGCACCGGAGTTTTCATCAATGGTCTCAACCTTGCCGTCGGAAAGCCTTGACATGTGGACGAAACCGATGTGCTTGGTCTCTCCGATCTGAGCATATACACCCATACCGGGATCGACCTTGACGATCTTAGCCTCGGGAATGATGGCGGAGATAGCAGGGGCCTCGTCGGAGGAACGGGGACCACGGGGGTCAGAAGAAAGTTTGAGTACGTGGTCAAGCATCGAGAAGCCAACCTTGAACGGCTCAGTAGATGGGAAAGTGGACACAATACGTCCCTTGATCTTGGCACCCATCTTGAACTTGTTCTCCAGGTCAATCTTGCCGTTGTTGGCACCAGACTGCACCAGATCGACAGTTGCGTCGAGCATTCCCATGATCTTTCCGATCATGCCGCTTGATGTGACTTCGGTAAGGAGGATCTCGGCGGCGGTACCGGGGAGGAAGGTGTTGATTGTGGGAGCCGAGCTGAGGAAGTTGGATTTCTTGATAGAGGCAGATGTTTGGAAGTTGGTGGACAGCTTGATGACATTGCCGCTAGGGTTCTGACCAGTGACCATGCAAAGGAAGACGGATCCTTCCTTGAGGCTCGAGTACTCCACACGGGGATCGATCTCCTTGGAGGACATGAATCCCTTGACGTCGGAGCCCTCAATGCCAAGGTCCATAACCACACCGTGGTCCTCAACGCTGACAACGGATGCTTGGACAGCGGAGTTCACAACGAGATCGGACTTTGTGAACCCAGTATTGGTTTGTCTGGGATCAACTGACAGCTCAATGTGCTTCTTGCTCCGGGCCTTGGGGTCAGCGGGGTTACCACCGGTGGAGACAACGAATGCTCGCAGGTATTGACCCAGATAGAAGTGATCCTTCAGGTCGAAAGACTCATCATCCGAGCTGTCCTCGTCGTCATCCTCCTCTTCGTCATTCAACATCTTCTCAATCTTGTCCTCGAGTCCCTTCGATACAGATGTAAGAGGGACGTATCCAGTAAGGTTGTTAGGCAGCGAAAGACCGATATCGTGGGCGTTGATGCTAGAGACTTGACCAAGAACCATGGTTCCAGGAACAATGCGCTGCGACTGTTAGATTAAATGCGACGTAGGAAAGTTTTCATCACGTACCTTGAAGCTGAGACCTTCAATGCGAACTTCTTGCTTCTCAGCTGAACCCTTGTCTGTAGACTTCTTGCCCTTTGTCTTCTTCTTCCGTGACTTCTTAGAGGTCGTGGCTGTCTCTTCATCGTCCATCTCAACATCATTGTCGCTCTCCTCCTCCTCGAAGGTGGTAGAGGGCTTCTTAGAAGGCTTCTGGGATCCTTTCTGCTCAAATAGAACATCCTTGTTGGCCTGGATCTGAATTTGCTTGCGCTCCAATGGGGTCAAGACGCTTGCGCCTCCACGAGGGAATGAGGGCTCCTCATCGCGGAGCACGGAAAGCTCTGAAGCTTTTGCGGCGGTGGAGGTGCCATCGTTTTCCTTCTTATGCTCTTTTTTGTTCTCCTCCGCTCCGACCTTAGCACGTTTTTGGGGCTGGCGAGCAGCTGTTTCTTCAGGGGCATTCCCCTTGCGCTTGATTGGCGCCATAACTGAACAGGCAAAACCGAATCGTGCTTTGTTGCAGATTGCGGTTTGATCCTCAAGAAAAAGATAAAAAAAATTCCGAATCGCGGCAGAACCCTTTGGGCGGTGTAATCTAGAAGAGCGATGGTGAGTCAGCAGTATTGACGCCTGAATTTAATGGCGGCACTAACGTGCTGGAACGTGCCCTAACTTTTAGAATTCACCCATGATTCCTGATCTTGGAGGGCGTCACTATTCCCACGTTAACTACTTCATCTGCTCCTAGTACGAAATCAGCCAGTTACCATGGATCCAGCTTAGCTATATAAACAATCTACCAACAAATGATCGCTCATCAAGTAAAAAGCCATGTGATGTTCGCCCTGGTCCATTCTCTTCTACTTAAACTCATAACAATCCCACTTGCTCAAGCACGACTTGACGATATACTTCATTGCTGTTTTTCTATATTTAAACGGTATGATTTCATAATTAGGTAGATTTGATATGATTGGATAGCATAATTAATTCGGTCTAACTTGACAGAATTACTTTTAATCTACTACCACATTAAAAATCTATATGTATATGGATATATCTATAACTCGAAGTGGTCTTCATGAATTGGAAAATATATTGAAACTTTTATTGGTCAAATTTCTAGTTGAAAATCCACCATGAATGTAGCAGTGGCTTTGGGGAAGATACTCGTGAGATGTTATAAATCTGACTTCTAGGACGGGACGCTTAGGTGCACGAACACAATAGCTTAGTACTAATATTTGAGACATTGATCTACCAGATTCGACCAAAATCAATAAGTACTGTAATTTTCCACAACCTGAAAATGAGTTTGATTGTTGCTCCGACGTAGCGTAGTACCTTGACGATTCAAAGATGTGACACGGCATATTTCTCTTTACCCAAGATACGGAGATATGTTCCGGCTTTACAGTACATAGATATGCAAGGGGGAATAAAGGCAAGTAAGGGTATGCATCCGGACATCCGGGTACTTTTGTGATATAGGGCTGGTGCAGCTGAGGAACCAAGCCGCAACGTCAGTGTTAACACCTAGGTGTCTAACAGAAGAGAATCTTTGTTTACAATCAACTTGGCTCAGTAATGTATTAGCATAACAATCTCAAATCGTAGCTCTGAGTTACAACACTTTTCATGTTAGCAAATGGAAACTTATTTCCAAAGTTCCACCCGCTGAAGAATCTTATCCCTTTCGTACGATTTAAGATTGACTGCGTGAATATACACGAATATTGAGCTTTTGTCTAGAGCCTGGAAAGTATAGAAAATACCTAAAATGCCTACCTCATTTGGATCGAGGGTGGTGAACAGTATGCATGTTTATCCTTTGAAGCCTCGACAGTGGGTCTTTTCAGGAGCTCCTATTGGACAATCTGGTACGGCCCAGCCCGTCCCGATCGGTCACGCGTGACCCTGATCATGCCCTAGTGAAATGCCCTTACTTATCACAGCAAGGTATGTTATTGAATTCTTGAATATTAGTCTTTCCCATCATAATTGTTCCTTTTAACGTGGAGAGACCCACAAGTACACCTTGTCACCATCAAATTCTGACGACCGCGCTCCATCCTTGACCATTGTTCATCATGTCTGCAGAAAGTCATTGTCAAATAGTACTTGAAAATTGGAGGAGACTACAACAACTATCCAGTCCAGTCAAAGAGAAGGCTGTGGTGGTGAGAGGGAAGCAGCTAACGCTAGCCGATGTGGTCGCCGTAGCACGATATGGCACCAAGACTTTTATCGATGACTCGCCTGAATTGCGCGAAGGCGTGGACAAGAGCGTGAGGTTCTTGAAGAAATGCGTTGACAGAGGCGAAATTCTTTATGGCAGGTTCACTCTCAGCTTAATGGTTTCTGTCAAGTTTCCCATTCTGATTGCATTCGCCCAGTCTAGGTATAAACACCGGGTTTGGAGGAAGTGCCAACACACAAACAAGCGATACCAAGAATCTTCAAATTTCATTGATGCAGATGCAGCAGTATGGCATCATGTCTACTGGAGAGAATCAATATCCGGGAGCAGGAAACCGAATAGCGGCCACGGAGATGCCCGACTCATGGGTGCGAGCATCGATGTTGGTCAGGTGCAATACCCTGGTACGGGGTAATTCTGGTGTCAGGTTTAGTATAGTTGAAGCCATTGCAGAGCTCCTCAATAGACAGTGTACTCCCCTTGTTCCTCTACGAGGCAGTATTTCTGCCTCGGGTGATTTGAGTCCCCTGTCTTATATTGCTGGTGTCTTGGAAGGTAACCCAAAGCTCCTGTTCCGGACGAACAATATGGGCACTCCTTGCAAGGAGCATCAGCACCGAGGACTAGTTCCTGCTGATAAGCTACTGGCCCAGATTGGTATGGAACCTATATCCTTTGGCCCAAAAGAGGGCTTAGGGTTGATCAATGGGACGGCAGTGTCTGCAGCTGTAGGGGCCATGGCGCTCCATGAAACGCATCACCTGGCAGTTCTTTCACAAGTTCTCACAGCGATGGCGGTAGAGGTCATGTCTGGGAGCCCCGAGAGCTTTGATCCCTTCATTGCCCAGGTTCGTCCTCATGTCGGTCAGCTCGAATGCGCCGCCAATATCAACCGATTCCTGCACGGCTCCAGACTCACCCAGGTTGTGCATTCTTCACAAGATATGGGAACGGGTGCATCTCCTCAGCTCCGTCAGGATCGTTACGCACTACGTACATCATCTCAGTGGATGGGCCCACTGCTGGAAGATCTCAACCTGGCTCATAAGCAAGTGACCGTCGAGCTTAATTCGACCACTGACAACCCTTTGATCGACACTGAACGTGAGCAAATTCTCCACGGGGGTAATTTTCAGGCCATGTCTGTCACTGTCGCCATGGAAAAGGCCCGGTCAGCGCTCCAAATCATGAGCAAGATGCTCTTCGCCCAATGCACGGAAATGATCCACCCTGATCTGAACAACGGCCTCCCACCGAATCTGTGCTTCGATGAACCCAGTCTTTCCTATTGTCTCAAGGGAGTTGATATCGGAATGGCAGCCTATACGTCTGAGCTGGGATTCCTCGCTCATTCGGTTGGGCCAAATGTGCAGTCAGCAGAGATGTCCAACCAGGCCATCAACTCTTTAGCTCTCATCTCCGCACGATATACGCAGACAGCAATCGACGTGTTTTCTATGCTGGCTGCATCATACATCTATGTTCTCTGTCAGGGGCTAGATCTCAGAGTGCTGCAGCTGGAATTCTTCAACGCCCTTCAACCCAGCGTGGAGATCATCACCAACCGTGTATACGGTCCCTTTTTGACCACTCCCTCTGCCTGTGATAATCTAAACTCGCTCCTCTGGACACATATTACCAGCACTCTGAAGTCATCGGCAGCAACTACAAAGGACTCCCAGCACCGCTTCGCCATGGTCGCTGAGGCAGCTCAGTCTGTTGTGGTGACCTTTTTCGCTTCCAATCCTGGGGCGACAACTGGTTTCTCTCCGCAAATGACGACTATTCATGCCTGGGTGACGGATTTGTCAAGTGCTATGGCTGAGGCTTTCCGGGGTAGCCAAATGCTCTTGAACAGCCCTCAGTCTCCAACATCGAAGTACTTGGGGCTAGCAGCACGTATCATGTACCAATATGTACGTCACACACTGAATATTCCCCTGAATCGAGGCCTGGTAGACCATCCTACTGCCTACCCGACTGGGAAATCAATCGGCTCTGGAATAGATGCGCCGCCTTCTGCAAATGAAGATACCCAGACCATTGGCACGTACATAACGAGAATTTACGAAGCCTTGCGATCGGAGGCTTTGATGGCTCCCGTGATGGGGTTTTTGGCACAGAGCGAACAAAATGGATATGATGATGTGACTGCAAAAGGGGCAGTTGGGGTATAGAATGGAACGAGTATGCTGGAATTGCCTTGACCTTCAGTTGTGCATTTGAAATCCCTACTGTATCTTGGTTCAATTAATCAATCATATCAGACTACAAGATTAGGTTAATCAATTTTATTCATTTTTCGGAACCTGGTGAGTATCGTAATGGGTAAGCAAGCGCTTCTTTCAGCTGAGGCAAAAATTAGTCTATCACTTTTACAAACACAATCACAGAAAGAATTAATAATAGCACGAGTTGAAGGCGTACCCCTCTGGGGTAGAGCCATGTGCTGCGGGTGCCGTTGTACTTAGACTTCCTTTTTTGTCTCTTCCTCTTTTTATCTCAGTCGTCAAACCATTTCTTAGTACACTATCCGTCCTTGAGTCCATTCTATTTTGGAAATAATGAGAACTTTGGTGGCTCTGTTATTACCAACTGTTCGTTGTAGACTCTTGTTCTGATTGATGTAGGCTAGAAGAGAGAAGTGAAACTAGATTTTGAATTCTTCCAAGGAAAAACAAGAGAATAAGTAGTCAAGAAACAAGATAGAAACAAAGGAGCAATCTAAGGCAAGCATTTTCTGATACCTGGTGATAACTTGGCTTGATGGAAGCCTTCATGGCACTGCAAATTCATGTAGCCAGGTATTCGGAACAGAGACAGGATAAACGCTGAGATCCAATTCTACTATCTAACCAATAGCATTCTTCATTGTTCGTTTTTTGTCAAGGATGAAGACGATCTTTTACGTTGGCAGTGCCATAAAATCGACAACAGGGGCCGTAACTTCTTGAACCCTGTGAGCAGACCTATGACCCCTGTTGTGCGGGAAATAATTCTGATATCGTTCTCCTGAACACTTGCATTCGTTGAAAGTTCCTCCTAACATATCTTTTTCAATAACCCATGCGTTGAGAATTTCCCTGTATGGGTAGCTATATACTTCAAATATAAACAATGCCCAATTACTGCGCTGAAGCCTGGTTCTGTTTTTCCTCGAGCCTTTTTTACGGTACTACGGGTCTCCGATACATCCAGAGCACTCTTGATTGTGAAGATACCTAAAATATGCAAATACCAGGGAGCATAGTCGATTGAGTGGCTGGAATTCCGATTGTTGACAGCCAAAACCAGCTCCAAGTCGCCCCCACCCCGCTATGATATTTTTCGAAGACTAAAAAAAAGTGTCTAGAAGGAAACTAAAAAACCAATACAAGATTACTCTGAAATTAAATCAGCCATAAACACCATTTCAAGTGGGATAAAAAGCTGAAGGGGTCTGGATTGGAGGGGTGAAAACGCCTGGACACGATTTCGCGTCACGTCGCGACACGAAAAGATCCAATCCAATCTTCCCCGATTCATCCCCTTAGCCCCATGCAATCATAGTCTTTCGTTTTGTTCCCTTTGCTCTTCCTTTTGTCACACAATGGGCCTCTTCGATTTACCGGAGGTGCCCTATTCAGAGCCTGTCCTGCCTCCCCCAGAGCCGCCTTCATCCCCTCCGTCCATTTCCTCCGATGCTGGTGGCCGCCGCAGAGCCAGAAAGCCACCGACGGTCACACCTCGATCATTCCGCCGATTTTTTACCCCGAGATCTCTCCTGCCTACAGCTGATAACACCACTACCCCATCGACCAGTCGCCAGGCTTTACGGGCTCTGACTTCGCCCGCTGTCAACCGCCTAGGCCCAGCATTCTCGAGAACGTCCAAAGCAGGCAGCACCAGAAGTCCCCATGATGGCTTGCCCGAAGACTTCGTTCGCACACCAAGTAGGAAGCGCAAGAACTCCTTCTCTTCTGCCATTTCACCTCTACAATCCTCGCCGCTGAAGCGGGTTCGTGTCCGGTCTCCGACAGGCGAAGTGGAACATGAGATGACAATTCGAGATATCGACCTCCGCCATAGAGAAGCGACTCCGCCGAGTCCGCCAAAACAATCCAAACCAGTGGCTCCTGTGCGTCGGTCGAAGGCATTGCAAACTTCTGGCGCATTTTTCATGCGAACTGTGATGGGCTCTACAGCAAACAGGACGACTCTACGATCCAACTCTGGCGCTGGTTGGTATTCACCACATAGCTTGTCTACTCGCTTCTAACACTTCTATGTAGGATGGCAAGATCTTACTTCCGATTTCTATTCTCAAAGCCAGGACCGTCACACATGCTCTAGCTATGCATCAGAAGGAGTCGCCTTACCTTTTTGCAATGCTTCATGTAATAGTAAGTCTTCTTGCCCCTGACTGCAAACAAAATCTCACCCAAAGCAGCAAACTCGCTCGTTGCAGTCGGCGATGAGGAGGGTGGTATTCGACTATTAGACTCCTCAATTGACGAAGACGCGGGCTTCACTGATGCATACCTCGGATTCCGTCCACACATGAACTCGATCATGGATCTCGAATTCTCGTCTGATGATATGCTACTGGCCACAGCATCCGGCGATCAAACGTCTCTTATTATCGATATGACAACACAACGACCCATCCATTGTCTATCGAACCACTCTTCCTCCGTCAAGCGCATCCAATTCCAGCCAGCTTCCAATAACAAAGTTCTTGCTACATGCAGTCGAGACGGAAATGTCAACATCTGGGATCTTCGTTGCAAAGGGTTTGAAAGGCCTGCATTGCAAGTCCAATGCTCCCTATCTGAAGCTGAGAACCCCTCGACCACTGCACCTCCGAAAATGCTATATCCACACGTTCTCAACACTATCGGAGGGGCCCATGCCTATACAACTTCCCAGAAACCTGCAATGGACAAGAATGAAGTACCTCCCTTTGGCCGGACCGACATCACAGTTACCTCGCTCGCTTTCCTGGCTCCTGGGCGTGAAAATCTTTTTGTGACAGCATCTGAGGCAAGCGCAAGTGTCAGATTATGGGACTTGCGAACCGCACATAATAACCGCCGCGGTCGACCTGTGATTCCACTTTCTACAACACAAGAGCCAGAAAGCCACGTAAAGTATCGACGATTCGGTCTTACTTCCATGGCATTTGGCGGAGACGGTGCACGGCTGTACACTCTTTGCCGAGACAACACAGTATACACATACTCAACCTCGCACCTGATCCTCGGAAACGCTCCTGAACTATCAGTCAATAACAATCGCCCACGTCGGACTGGAGGTTCTGACAAGGATGGCCTCGGCCCTCTCTACGGATTCCGTCATCCTCGTCTCCAGGTCTCTACCTTTTACGTTAAGTTGGCCGTCCGCAAAGCGACTGCCGATCGCCCGGAGATGCTAGCCACTGGAAGCAGCGACTTCTGTCCAATTCTATTCCCTACCGATGAACGATACTTCAATCCCCCTGTGCAAACACCCCCTGAAAGTCCACCGACCCGCACATCCCTCTTTACCACCCGTTCTGGTCTCCGCCGCACAAACTCTGGAATTGGCTTGTCTGGACGCCTGGAAGACACCATTCCGATTCACCAATCTGGTACACCTCTCGCTGAAGGCCACCAAAAAGAAGTCACTGGGATATCATGGACACAATCCGGTGAACTTATTACTGTGAGTGATGACTACACCGCTCGCTGTTGGCGTGAAGGACCTGAAGCTCGTGAGCTTCGCAATGGTGGTGAATCCGAGGGCAAGCGCTGGCAGTGCGGCTGGGCTGATATAAAAGACTCTTACGACGACGAAGACGAATGATCCTGCTTCTTTTGTGACTTTTACTCAGCATTCTTCATGGCGTTGGACTTTTTCATTTTTCATTATTGGGCATTTCCGTGGCGCTTGGGAGGGCATTTCTTTTCTAGCGCGGCATACCCGTTTTTATTCTGGTCTGCATCCTTTCGGAACTTTAATTCTACTGTTAGTTGACTATTGAATCAATCAATTTCCTATAACGTTATATCGAGATCGAGATCGAGATATTCGTCTACTCTTATGAGATACTGTGTTTTCACAGACAAACAGCCTATCGCGTGCTTGAAGCCTGAAAACAACCCAAGAGTCCAATATGCAGAAAAACCACACCAGCACCTAAAGATGCAACCTAGCCATTTCAAATATGTAAATCGTCGACGAAGCGCTCAAGTGGAAGCCATTCAGTACTAGTGGGCGATAAGAGATAAGCGCGGCTCATCTTCAACTTCGAAGAAAAAAAGTTGCGAACTTCAAATCAGAACTTTACACCCCAAGAACTCCCACAATGCCTCACAAACACAAAAGACGCGGAGAGGCTGACAAGTCGTGAGTAAATATGATTCCAATCATTCCCGATCCGAAGTCTAACGAGTCCTTTTTCCAGTCTCTTCAACCTGCCACCCTCGGAGATCGCCAAGGCACTCCCAGTCCGCGACGCGAACAAGCCAAAAATAGGCAAGAATGGCAAGCCAATCAAACAAGACAACAACAAGAAAAACCAAGGCCAAGACCAAAACTCAAGCGCAAACAAAGCACCCAGCAGCCGCCGCAAGACCGTCTCCGAAGATGACACCCCAGCCGCATTCCGCCGCCTAATGCAATTCCAGCAAACAGGCCGACGAGCCCCCTCAGGACTGGAAACCGGCGAGAATAAGAAGCGCAAGCGCACCGGCGCAGAGACCACAACCGAGTCCAAGAAAAAGCCCGCTCGAAACGCAAAGGCCGCAGAAGCCAAACCGGCCGCGGAGAAGACCGACATGCCCAAGATTATGCCGGGCGAAAGGCTAGCCGAGTTTTCGGCCCGCGTTGACCGCGAAATGCCCTTGTCACAAATGACCAAGACAACCAAGTCCGGCGAGGCTAAGACCAATGAGCAGCACAAGCTGACGAAGCATGAGAAGCATCTGCTCCGTCTGCAATCTGGGTGGCGTGAGGACGATAAGAAGATCCGCGAGAAAGAGCAGGCGGAGCGGGAAGAGCGCGAGGCTGAGATGGAGGATGAATTGCAGCAGTGGAAGGAGTGGGAGATTGAGGCTGGAGGAAAGGCTGCAAAGAAGCGTGCCCTTGCTGCTGCGGCGCGGAAGAGTAAGAAGAAGGGGAAGAATGCTGATGGGGAGGACGGTGCTCCTGATAGTGG